GTGAATAGAGGAGGAACTATCTAAATAATATTTAAATATAGTCCGCTATGATTTTAACCACAGGACAGGAAGGACTTAGCAGGAACAAATTAAAGCAACGAAGCTAAAAGGTTTAGATTTGGATTAAACTATTAACTAAACTTTTAATATTATTTTACAACATCCATTTATGACATCCTCTTTCCATCATCCTCTAAATGTCCTCCTTTTCTCATTCTTCATCGCCCTTTCTGCACTGACACTGAAACAATCCCTAGACACATCATAAAAGCAGACAGATGATTAGATTTTAGTTGGCAAGGAATTCAAATGAACTTCACACTTGCAGTTTTGGGATGCTGCCTGGATACACAATGGTACACAACCGTGGCTTACAAAGTAGCTTGGAGCCCTCAGCTAACATTAACAAGAACAGCATGTATGTAAGGGAACAGCAAGGCCCAGAATAGCAGAACCCTGAGTGGCTGGGACAGGGATCTGCCATCATCTTGGCACCCCAGGCTCTGGGGGTGTACATACCACCCATTCTGTGTACAAACACGGAACACTGCAGAGTTGTGGGGCAAGTTTCTTACTCCTTACTCATATCAAACCATCCAACAGTCCATCTTGAGGAACGGTAAAATCAAAATATGACTTGAGGTCTAAATTTCAGGCCACGGGCCAGTAACCAGAGTGGTTATCTCCACCTCAGAGCCAAACCCCCAGCACTATCTGTCACTGATAGGGCTGCGCTGGGCAAGCTGAGTCATTTTCTTCCATGTTAAGAACTCTCTGTTTTGTAGCTGCCTCTTAAATAACAGGAGGTTGTCAGGATTCCTTGCACACACTATTTTTAAAGCAGAAGTGCAAGATCAAGCTCCCAATCCAGTTCACTTGCTCTTGTTCCACTTAAATCCATTGCAAACATTCAGCTGAAACCAGTATGAACAGAAGCGCATCCACAGTGATGCACTCCAGGGCCCAGCAGCTTGTTTGATTTACTCCATGGAAAACTCCTGCCTGTACAGCTCTGGCTAAATATTTGGTATACCTGTCTCAATTAAATTTTCCTAAATGTCAGCACATCACATTGTTTTTCCAATACACAGTCACTAGGAGACACACGCCAGGTTGAGCATGCCATTTACTCAAAATGAAACCCTTCATTATGCAACATTAACTTTGGCATGAGGTACCTTTTGCAGTCAGTTATTCTGCAATGTTAATTTTAAACTGGGCTTCCTGTGTGCTTACTCTGAAAGCAAGATACAGGTGCCTTACATATAGTTTGTTTTCATGTCATTGTAATGCACTGAAATACATGTCGAATTTCAGAATCCTGCAGACCATAAGAACGTGTGAAGGGCAGAATGTCTCATTAAAGAAATAACAGAATGTGACCTTGAATAAGAGAAACATATTAGACCACTGATAAAATCCTCAAGGCACACTGCATCTTCCTATTTTTCTTCCTGAAAATTATGAACTGAGAACAATTTCAACTAGTAAAATGAGAAGTGTTAAAGTAAGTGGCAATGGGAATTATTTTCTTAGAAATCCCATTTTTACTATGTGATGCAATTAGTGTTATATTTGTTAAATTCTACAACATCCTGAGCAGAAATAAATATGCAGAAAATAGTTTCTTCAGCGTTTAAGTTACTGTATTCTAAGGTTTAAGGTTTATGTTTTATCTGTAGGTTAAGGACACTCAGTGAGAGTTCAGTCACTACGCAGTAAGTTTGCTCAGTGCCATCACCATCCCAGTTTCCAGAGCACTACCATGAAGATGACTAATAGGAATCGTGACATTCAGAATTCTCTGTTTCCAGTCCTGATTCATCACCCCTTCCCCTGCTGCTGCATTTTCATTTTCAAATTCCCCAGCATGTAATTAAAGACAAAGAAGGAATTTTTCCCAAGTAGTGAATAAAGTAATATTGCCCAGCAATTCAGTTTCCTCTTAGAGAGAATTAAAATATTTTAAAGTAATCAATTCCTAAAAGCATATGGTCATTCTTAGTTAGGGTTCTCATTTTCCACACCTTGAGCTTTATTTTGAGTTAGTTTAAAAATAATTAAAAAATGTTTAATAGAGACTTTCTTAACGTAAACTTTTCTTAAAAGGATAAAACATGCCCTGGATTACAAAAGCGAGCAGAATATAGAAGAATAATTGAAAATACAATGTTTATAAGCAACTGGTGGGTATGTTTAAAAGGGGTTCTCTCTCGTCTATCCAATGCAGGACACAGAAAGTTTAACTGAAGGTTTGATGTGGGAACCCTGGGGTCAGAATGGGACTTTGCTCCCTGTTGGAGCAGAAGGCAGTTTTTCCCAGGCTGCTGTTAATACGGTGTGTAGGACACTACAGATGTGACTCTGCTAACAGCTGAATGCCACTCACCTGAAGGAAATGTGGAGCTGGAGGTCTGTGGTGTCCAATACTCTCCTCCACAATTTCGGAGGAAGGATTAATGTCACTAACTCCCCATGAAGCTGTGCTATGTGTTAGCTAAGTATGCACTAACATGTTGTTGGATTTCAGGTGCAGGGGATGGAATATCGGGAATTTAGGGCAAACAGAGGTTTGTGTTCACCCATTGTGTTGCAGCCTCACCCACCTTAAACCTTGGAAAAAAGGTCAGCACGCCCAGAGATATCATGGTAGAGGAACTCTCAACACTCAGCAACAGAGGGGCCAGACTCTTCAAGAGACGCCAGCGGAGATCTGATAAATACACATACGAAAATTATCATTACGTAGCAAACAAGCCAAGAAATGTGAGTATTTTGTACTGACTTATTAATGAGACACAGCCAGGCTAGCTTGGGTTCCCTTGGTGCTCGTGATACAAACACTGTGTGTGACCTATTTGTAGTTTCAGGGAGAATAGAAGCAAAATCCTGTGCCAGAATAAGGCTATTTGTATTTTACTGAGATCCTACAGACTACTAAAAAAAAAATATATAAATTTATATTTCTTTTTATATGGTACAGACGCTTCAAGATATTTCTCTGATCACTCACTCAACAGAAGTTAAATTACATATAGATAAAGTGGGATCAAGTTTGAGCCTTGATAAATCTCCCTTTTTAAAATAAATCTGGACAAGAGAAATCTCATATAAAAAAAACCTGAATTACTTAATTAAACACCCAAGGCTATTCTTAAACACTATTATTTAGAAGCCCCTCTGAATACTGTCCCCTGAATTTCTGCCTCTATTGAGCATTAGAAGCTACACAGATAAATTCTGAGCACATCATCACTCTTGTCAGAATTCTGTGTGCACTTCCATGATTTTGCTCCAGTCTGACAGATCTGTTTCCCTCTAGTCCACTGTGCCCCACAAAAACACAGAGTACACACAGTGTACACCGAGTATGACATTGCAATACATGAAAAAGTGATGCCTCTGGCTCCTGTTCCCTTCCCTTAAGTGTCTGTTTAGCCACCACTGGTGGTGCCTTCACCATCTTTATGATGCTGCCTGCCAAAGTTAATCTTTCTAGCACACTTCAGGATGACTGAAAAACATTCTGCCTTGATCTCTTTTTGTTGTTGTTTCAAGTTTAAACAAGTGTTATTTGTTTGCTTTCCCACTTCAAGAAACTCTTACTCTAAAGCAGTCTATATTTAAGTTGCTTTTAGCCTATGTGTCATAGCTAAAATAAGATGCTGACTTCTTATGAGACTCTAATTCTATATTTAAGCAACAATGATTAAGCTTTTGGATGTTTCCTTAGAACCGATAACCCGATAGGAGGGTGGAAAATAACAGCATATCATGAACCTCCAGAAAGTGACCTGCACTGAAATTGTTATTTCTATTACAAATAAAGGAAAAGACAATCCCAAACAAAAGCAGTTCAACAAATGCAGTGAGTTTTCAACTGAAGAGACGCTTTGAAGAATCGGTGCTTTGAAACTCAAAGGGCTCAAACTTGCCAGATTTCTGGAACCTTTGGGGTAGCAAGAGTGGCACAGAACATTTTAATGTCAAATTAAAAGCCCCATTTTATGGGCCTCCCTATCAAAATGACCAGAGCAACTCTTTGCTGTGAACCACCCAGCCCAGGAGATTCTGTGGTGATCGGTGTAAGCATCAGATGGGATGAACACTCTTCATAGACTGCTTATCAACATTCAAATATCCCAAATATAGGAAAATGTCAGATAGCTCAGACGGACAGTTGTAATTTAGGAATCCTGTTGCCCTAGCTCGGTGTGCCTTAGGATTGTATACCCTGGGAATCAGATCTGGGCTGTGCATTGGAGTATCATTCCAACCTCAGCAGAGAATCCCAGTTTGTTTTGCCTGTAAGTGATATTTCTTTGCCTTTGAGTGCAGCGTGGGGAGCCCATCCCGAGTGTGAGAATGGACGGCCTCAGTGTGGATGGAATTCCCCAGCACGCCCCAATGACACCTCCCAACACACCCGATCCCCGGAGCCCACCACACCCTGACAACATTGCCCCAGGTAATGTGGGACTTTACAAGACACTGGACATGTTTAGTTCTCATTTCATAGCAGAGAAAGGACCTTCTGTTAAAACAGAATTTATTAAGAGAAGTGGATAAATTTCAGTCAGATGACTAATGAGAATCTCTCACAGGAAGGTAAAGTGGTTCTCTTAGTTGCTTCTGCTCATGCGTAAAAGATCTGACATGCCCTTTGTACTACTTCTCCCTAAACTGAAAACATACCTTAATATCAAGAGAGACTGCTCCTATATTTATTGGTCCTATAAACACTGAGAAAGAGATCCTCAGATTTAAAAGCACATTAATATAGTGAGTTTTCTTTGCCAAACCTTTGTTTCTAATACACGACACGTTGCTCAACAGTTTGAAAGTTAGTCATTGCAGTTTAATTATCCATCACCGTAAATCTGAAGTCACTAAGTTTTGCTAGAACCCTTTAGAGAGAAGTAACTTTAAAAGGGATTTGCTTCTGGCTGCATAAACTGTTCTTTTTTAAATCCTTAACTGTGGGGGTACTGTTGGCTTTATTTAAAGCAGTGAGTTACAAGAAGGCCTTATTTTGTATTCTTTAAAGAGTAGAGAAGGCTAATTTGTTTTAATTAATTTATTCAGTGATATAGCCCCTCTTCCTGTTTATGAATTATCCATGAGCAGCCCGTGGTTTTTACAAATTCATTCTTTGTTCGGAATTACTCAATGCATGTTTTGTGCAGACCTTTTCCAGTCCATGCAAACTGGGTCAGTGCTGCTCTGTCAGTGGCTGCTGAGGCTCTGTGCATCCACTGGGCAAACACAATGCAGAGATCACTTCCATTGCTTAGACATGATACAAATCTTCAGGCCTTTCTTTAGGTAAAAAGAAAAAAAAAGAGTCTGGCAAAAGGAGAAGTTATTAAACCCCAGGGGGTTTTAAGCTTACAGAAGGAAATAAAGGTACTTTAAAGACATAGAGGTAGTGGGAAGGTAAAAGGGTAGAACAGATCTCCCTTGTATTTCAAATAAATATGGTACCTCACATAACTGGTCAGTCACTTACTGCTTTTAATTCTTCAAACTGTACATTAAGGTCTGTCTTTCCCCACAGTTTATTCCTGACCTATTGTAGTTGGCCTTAGAAGAAATCACACTGAATATGGAATTTTTTTATCTAGTAAAATTCTGGTCAAAGCCTGATCCTCAGGTGATTACGCAGAGGGAACAACTGATTGTTCACTGTTTCAGATGATGAAAAGGACCAGAGAACCAAGTAGGCAGGACATTTTAAATCAAAGGGGAAAACTTCTCTAATAATGACTGTCACCCAAAGATTGTAGAATTCTCTTAGTTTTAATCGAAAGGTCGTTTTTAAAATCTTTCTGTTAATTCAGCTCAAGGACTGTGTAGGTACAGCCTGTGTTCAAACAAATGCTTATAATAGAAACAAATTTATGTAAAACTCAAATAAAACTAGCCTGATACGTTTGGAGCAGTTATCTAAAAGGCTACAAATTTCCCCTGCCATCTTCCTATTTCTGTGTAGCTTCAGCCAAGTGACTTTACCCAACTGTTCATTTTACCTGAGAAACAACGGTGTGTTAGTTCCTGGATCAATCAGAGGAAGCAGAAAACACCAAGTATCATTATAATGGTTTCACCCTGCTCACATTGCAGGATATTCTGGACCACTGAAAGAAATTCCTCCTGAGAAGTTCAACACTACGGCTGTGCCTAAGTATTATCAGTCTCCCTGGATAGAAGCCATTAGGGATGATCCAGAGCTGCTGGAAGCTTTATATCCCAAACTTTTTACACCAGAAGCAAAGCCAGAACTGCCTGACTACAGGAGCTTTAACAGGTAATTCTGAATGCACATTGAATTTTACAGAGCAGAGAAAAATTACTATGAAATAAAATGTTTCCACCGGCTGTAAAAAATCCCCTCCCACCTGTGTTGGCAAGTGTATGCACGAAGGTGAACACACAGAGATTAAGTGGCAAACAAGGGATCAAGGAAGGAACTACCTCTGAAGTGTGGGCCCGAAATTAAATTGTAGAACTAGGAATATATGATAAATTGTTAAAACTACTGAAGAAAGTATCAGAATCAGTGTACTCACCAGATGGGAAATAAGGGCTTCAAACTCCTTTCAGTATTTCTCTTGCTGAGTTCAGTAGGTCCAGGATGACAAGTGCTATCAGAGAAACAAACTCTGAGTCAAAAATTTGTTTCTAAGCTGTATAATGCAAATCACTTTTTTTTAATTATGTTTTAATATAACTCATGCAGTTTTTTTCAGGAAATGACAGTACAATGAACTTTAACCTGCAATCAATCCCTCAGACCAAATAGTTTGCAGATTACACATTTTATTGCATTTAACAGTTTTTGCTGCTTTGATAACCTTCAGTGACAAATTAACAGATAAAACACTGCTTTACTTACTAGCAACTAGTATATTAAGGTTTTCAGTGGGACTTCTAGATATATGGACAACACTGGGATTTTAAAGTTTTAGAACAAAATCTTATTTGTGTTGTTTAGTTTCTTTCATTCCAGTGATACTATTTGTATTTATTGAGGTTATGGACAAATTTCCTCTAAACAACCCCTGCTGAGTCCCAAACAGCTGAGCCAAACCAAAACCCGTCCTCAAAACTCCAGACAGCAATCTATTGAAAAGGAAAATGGCTCGTGGCAATACAAACTCAGAGCAAAGCCCCACAAACATCACTTGTGTTCCCGATGTTGATGTGAGTCTCAACTCTGAGTGCAAGGACTAAAACATTACACAATTCAACACGAAAACTGGCACTGCAGACACTGCACTAATTGTGGTTTCCTAACAGCAACATACATTGCCATGTCAATAATTAAGTCTGTGTGGCACGCTCTTCTCAGCACACAAAGCAGCAAACACGAGTGCTGAGATGTGCCCCAGCTGCTAACACCGCAACAGTAACAGCACAGTTTGTGCACTGTAGTTATTGCAACTGAAACAAAATTCAGACAAAACAACAAACAGCCCAAGCAGAAATGCCAAAGACACATATACATGGAGACAGAGTCAATTCTGCCTCTCACAAGAGAGATGCTAGTCATTACTGGGAAGGACAGGATCACACAGGGCACAGAGACTCCATTAACAGGGATATGTGTCTTGAGATGGTGTCTGATGGCCTCTTTGTGGATTTTTAGTTGTCTCTGTGGTCCCGTGTTCTGTTAGTTGTCCTCTTTACAACACTAACTGTTTGGATTTCTTTCTATGGGGATTTTCTCTGCGTATGAAATGGCAGAACTGTGGCTCACCACAGTCTGAATTTCTTGAACATATGTGCAATCCTATAAAGAAAAGGTCAATATTATCCCTTGTAAGTGCCATAAAAACCTGGCACATAAATCCAAATCCGAACTGTGAAATCGTTAAATACAGGACACAGACACATAAACATAATTCACCACAACTCTCCTTCTCCTGGAAAAAAACTTGACATCCAGAAGGAAATAAAAGGATGCCTGGCAGACCTAAAAAGCTGTTACATAGAACTTGTTCATATTTATGTTGTCTAGCAAGAAGACAAAAGAAAAAAAGAAACTGAGAATTTGCAAAATTGAAATTTAAGATTTTTCCCTCTTGGAGAGGATTTTACAACCATGATTTAGGGTCTACACTCCTAAAAAGGCACAGGAGAGTGTCTGATTGTGGGATTCAAAACAGAGCCCACTGGATGCCCAGCAAACCAAGAGAAATGGACTTCTCTGTCTAGATCCTCAGACATTCTGCGCATCTGGGTCACAGCATCCCTGACTTCTTTAATTGCAGTCTTGGAGAGAAAGCCAATGATCCTGTATTAAGCAATTGCAGAGTGATATAATAGCACCACTGTGTTATCAGTGAGGGGATCTCTCAAGGCTTTCTATCCTGCTTCATCACCCAGTGAAGTGCAATTCTGTTTGTTGTGCAAAGGGCTGGCACAGTCATCGTTAGTCAGGAGGGGGTGTGGTTAAGAGTGTGATGCACAGGATTCCCAAGGGAAACGGGCCCTACATCCCTCCCAGTTTATTCAGTGGCGCCTGCTGAAGTGGCACCGGGACTTTACAGGCCATTTCAGGTTCCCTTCGGCTTTCCTTGTTACACAACAAACTCTAATAGCAACACAACTTTAGCAGCGAGGGAGGTCTGATGTGTTGGAACAGATGCACACATGCATGGATTAAAAGCACGGAGATTAATTCCTATTAGGATTGAAGAAGTATTTACTAGTGAAAAGATTTCTTGCCTCTTCCCAGCGTGGAAGCACCTAGTAAACATCTGTGGGAAAGCAGCACGAATCTACATTTGTTGAGGAGTTTGTAAAATGAGTTAAATTAGTACCTTTATTCCATCTGCTTTCTTGGAGCTGGATAAAATGTCAGAGGTAGGATTATGTGTAACAAACAGAGCACTACATCTTACTCACAAAGGACAAGCAAGTCTGACTAGTTCTGCCTCTCCTACCAGACAAATTCTCACTCAGCTTTCTCAATTCCCAAAGACGACTCCTTCAAAAACACTACAGGAATCCAGTCCATCTGGACTGGGCTCTGTTTTTCTTGATTCACAGATTCTGAACTCCATTATAAAAATGCTGGGATCCAGAGTCTCGCAGGAATTTTGGGTGCTATCTTGAAGTGGAAGCTGGGTGCTTAGCACCTACAAACCTCTGTGAATTTAGCATTAGCTCTTGCACTAAGCTTCCAGAAGGCCCTGAGCATTTTGCAGGGTCAGGTTCTTTGCTCCCATGTCTCCTTCTTGCACAGAATTAACAATACACAGCATGTTCTACGTTCCCATTTTAAAACATGAAACTCGCCTTTTTTGTAATTTTGGAATCGAAGACACTAATCTAATACAGTTAAAGCATTTCATCAAGCTCTCCCAAATAATCAACTACGAGTAGGCTCCTATGTTGAGAAAAGAAAACGTTCAATAAGAAAGACCAAGGAAGAAAAAAAAAAGTCCTGCTAAAACAACAGCTAAAAATAAACATGATTGTGCCTGCTATTGTTAAATCCTGCACCTACTTTTTAGGAATATGCAAAGTGAATATTAAACAATCCTGTACACTTCCTGGTGCCATTTCCTATGGCTCTGAACCAGAATTTCCGCCCTTATTATGAGCAACGACTCCTGGAATTTTTTAGCCATGAGATCGAGGCTTCTGTACCGTGAATCAGAGCTCAAGTGGTACAGCCGATGAGCACACAACAAGAGGTCATTGCAACACCATGTTGTCAGACAAGTTATTGCTCACAGAAATATACCTACTGCTGCTGTAAAGGAACATTAACATCTATTAGCCAATTGCTGCAGTCTCCTTTATGTCAATCATCATGTGTCTTTGCCTATAATGCAGGAATGCACAGTTCTCTGAGGCCAGATTTTGGACAATAACTACATGCAGGTATTTTGCCACTGAATTTCCATAAAACGCTCTCCTGTTCCTTTTGCTTAGAGAAACATGCTGTATTTAAAACCCAGAAGTACTACAAGGAGGATGTTTCAAAGTATAGAATTGTTTTGCGTTTTATACAGCTATGATTATTTTGTTTATTTTGATTATCCCTTTAATACCCCTATCAATGAGATTAAATATCACAACAATGAGAATGTGTACAGTAATTAGGGCAGCAATTAAAACCATCTTTATTATCCAGTAAGATGCATATCACTACATTCACTCTGTGCCAATTACCAAGCAATTATTTTAATCAGTATCATACGGTATCCATTTGACATTGTGACCCAGAAGACAGTTTCACAAGAAAACCTTGATACCACAGGCCCTTTTACAAACCATTTCCTTTGACCTCAAGAGGATTTAATGCCTGGACTGGCTGCCTCTGCTGCAACATCTTGTCTTATCCTCACTTGAGAAACATTTTTAGAGCTTACTCCAAAGCAGAGCTCTTCTCTCAGTGAGTGTGCATGCCCAGAACTTTCATGATTTTTTATATCTCACAGGACTGATGTTTTGGAGTTAACACCAGCCCCTTCAACAAATGCTGCTCATACCAAAATTCAGTGAATTCTCCATGTAATGACAGAGCAGCGCCATTTCCTTTGCGCCACAGATTCATTTCGATGAACTAATCTCTTATTTTTGTGTGTGTCCTACTCAGATCTTCAAATGATCTGTTCCTTTCTCTTGGTATTAACTTCTCCAGGCTTCTGCTATAATATCTGGAGCCACTGGAAATATATTCCAGCAGATCTGCTGTTTTGTACCACACACAACATCCACCAAGGCTGGTGAAGATCCATTTCAACAAAAATTCACTTTCCCATGCCACTGCATATTCGGCTTTGCAGAAATCAGGTGTAGCTTAAACTCTAAACTGGCCAGAATATATCCCAGCAAAGTCATGCAGCTGATCCAAATGCAGAGCACAAATGTTTGCTTATACAAAGGAGGCTGGGAAAAGTGACAGAAAAACTCAACTAGTTTTGTTGTTTTTTTCAGCCTGAAACCTGCATATATAGAATAATCATAGGAGGTTTTGGAAATACTGTTTTAAAAGATTTGCAAATGCATGTAACAGTCAGCTCCAGCTTAATATTCCTTATCTTTCAGTTTTTCAGGCTTCTTGCCTGAGGGAACATTCCCATTTAAATAACATGAAAACTGCTGGCCAAACAGTGTTTCAGGGCTTAGTTACATAAACATTTTCTTCAGAAACAAAGGTGGTGTATCAAGTCCTCGCCCGTTCCCCTCCTTTCCAGAGCCTGTTGTCTTTGGCTGTTCCTTTCTGCTTTCCATTACACTCCACTGCCTCCTCACTTGTATTGCTACAACTGTTTCAGCATAATGAGACGAACCAGATTCCTGAAATAATTTGGACTTTGAAGTGCTGCTTTGTTATGAAGGGTCTTTGTTTAACCCAGATCCCATAAGTGACCCCAGTTTATAGCACAACCCACACACACACTCTAACTGGTAGGACAATATGGTGCTGAAATACAGTGCAGTGGGAGGAACGAGCAACTGGGGAGAGGAAAAAATGGGGTGAGAACTTCCTGAACTAATTACTTGCTAGAGAGAATGTGTCGAGCTACGTCTTCAGACTTATCAACTTATCACCAGCAAAATAAGTTTAGTAACTGTGACTCACCAATGACAAGGTTTTCCTGCCACATCTTTTTCTCTCGGCTCTTCCACCCATTTGAATTTTAAAGAAGGCTGAAGGCTTTATCTAAGGGAAAATAAATCAGATTTTAAAGAGAATTTCCCAGAAAAACAATCAGAATACTTCTCCCAAAAGCCTGAAAATCTAAACAAGATATTGGACCAAATCTGTATCATTAAAATAGCTTCTGTTCTTTTCACCTCCTGGGAGGAAAAGAAACGCAGCTATTTTTAAAATCACATTTTACTTTTATTTCTCTAAAATCTACAGAGTTGCCACTCCCTTTGGTGGTTTCGAGAGAGCATCAAAGCTGGTGAAATTCAAGGTACCAGATTATAACCTCCTGATGCTAAACGACCCCAGATTCATGATCCTTGCAAACCCTCTCGCTGCCAGAAGATCCTTCAACAGGACTCCCAAAGGATGGACGTCCGAGAACATCCCCGTGGTGTTCATCCAGCCCCCAGAGTCCAACCCTGTTCCAGAAACAGAGGACCTGTGAGAGAGCCTGCATTCTACACCCTTCAAAATGCTGCAAGCTGCACATCCACGTAGTTTTGGTCCAAATACTACTGAAGGCTACTGATAAAAGTTTTTCCCTGGCAGCTGGAGTATAAGCAGTAATGTCTGATGCAGTGTCTCTTTTCTGGCACCAAGTTTCAGCTGTAAACACGATATAAATAAAGTCATTTGGAAAATATGACAGCCATGTTTTCTATTTGTGTTTACATGTTCTGCTCTTACTTCCTAAAATCTTTGCTTGTAATTTAATAACAAGTGCACTGAGGGAAAAAAAAAAAAAAAAGTGGTACTACTCTCAAGGGACTTGACTTGATAGGTCTGGTGATTTTGGTAAAACAACCAAGCAATGCCACAACTCTGCACTCAAGGCACCCCAAGTCCCACCTGCTCGAGATAAGCTCTGACAAATCAGCCTTATTTCCCACCCCTGCTTTTGGCCAAAGTTAAGAATTGTGTCATTAGTTCAGGGACAGCAAATCCAGGCCGTTTTCCTCCTTTCTGATCTTACTCAGCTTTTATGGTGGCCATCAATACCTGTGTCAGCTGGCTTTGTTTACAGAATATGCAGTAAATGCGGCAATGACAAGGATCACGTAGTGCTGTGAAAAAGTACACAGGTATTTCCTGGATGTCTGCAATGTTTGTATTAATCAGAACTGAAATGCCCAGCAATGGCTGGTTCTGTCAAACGTACCAAAACAGTATCACCCCACAAATGCTTTTGTTACTAGAAAGAAATTTCATTTTTCCCTACAGCCACAGTGTATGCAGGGACTTAAAAGCATGAGGGATTTCTTGCTCTTGATACACTGGCAAGTTGTGATGTTTTATAAATAAAAGCGTATATGTTTTTCAAATGTGATTTCGAGGGAGGTAGTTGGCAAAGGAAATTCTGCCATTTATTTTTCTTTAATTTACTTTGTCACGCAAAGTGCACAAACAAATGCAGAGGTCCTGACCAAATCTGTGAAATTAAAGGAAAAATAAATGAATCTCATTGGGAATGATTTCCTAGCAAGGGATTAGTTTGGGGACCGTAACTGCTCGCTGTACAACAATTATACAGACGATGACAAAAATTTCAATTCTTCAAGGCTAAAAAAAAACCACTAGTGAGCAGCAATGCAAACTTTAGTTTCCTACTCATCCACGGATCCAGTGGCTAAACTCCTGACCCGTGCCTGGGAAGCGTTTGGGAGAGCTTTGAGAGAAGCGTGCCTGGGAAGCGTTCCTGACCCGTGCCTGGGAAGCGTTTTGAGAGAAGGAGGGCTGTGCAGTGTGCTAAGCATTCAGCAGCAGGGATCCAAGTGCCAGTGTCCAGGAACGTTCCCTGGCTGCATCAGCCTAGATGTTCCCTCACTGTGGAAGTCCCACTGCAATAAACAAATCACTGTGCCAAAAGCCAACTCCTTTGCCACCAAGGAAGGGCTCTTGGGAAGGCTGGGAATTTTCAGAGATTCTCTATTCACTTCAGTGGGGTTTAGCACTTGCATTTCTTTTGTCAGATATGTTTATGTAGCACTGGAGATGTATCCTATAGCTAGAGGAAAGCCTGGTTTTGGGTAACCAGTGACAACTTCAGAGATCAATATTTGTATTAATTTTTGTAGACAAAGAGATGGCTCTGAAGGGAGAGAATGAAGGTTTCTTTAGTTACAGGTCTGGAAAGATCAATAAATACGTATTTCTAAATTTTCAGTGGTGCTTTTAAAGGCTTCTCTGAGCTGTAACAAATCCAGTTGCAAGGACAGATGAAATGGAAAGCAACAACTTTACACAAACAATCATAAGTAGATAAGTAGTTCAGAAAATGTGCTTATAACTTCACATACATCACAGGACACTCATATTTGCTTCCAAAAGAGAAAGGCACTGAAGGCAGAAATACGGTGAGAATAAATATAAAGTTAAAAATGGCTAGACGTCATTGTTCCTAAAGGGTTTTTTGCCCTGTTTTTATTTATATTAAGGTAACGGCAGCAGTATAAAGGGAACTCAAAAATTCATTGAAGTGCTTTCACTAAAAATGTGGTGAAATGAGGAAATAGATCTGCTGCTTCCCAGTCTATATAAAATACCCCATGATCATAGTATGTCAAAAAGAAGTAAGAGATGTACAATCCTCAAAAGCTCCATGAACATAAGGGTTTTTTAAAACAGATGCACCTTAAACCTCTTTTGACGTGAAAAGTCAGGGTTCATGGCCTGGACTGTCTGCACTGGAGATTAAATTTTTTTAACTGCGTGCTCCCTTCTTAGAAATCTTAAATATGTCAGCGTGTCTTGGCTGCTTTCCCTCCTGCATAATCCATACAACTGGCAACTACTGTGGATATAAACCACGATTCTATTGTCTCAAAGTATCCCTGTGTTTAAGTTCATGTAATGCACATTGTCTCTATCAGAAGCAGGAAAAACGCATTGGAGACAGAATTCTGATCCCAACGCAGTCAAACAAAGGTTTTGGCACTGACCTCTGTGCAGACAGAGGTTATATTATTTTGTCTCAAATGTGTGTTTGTAATCAAAGTCATGCCATTACCAGAGCTGTTCTGTGTCCAGCATCAGAATGGATATGCTGGATTACAGAGCTGGGCCTAACTACATATATAGTTCATTTTTTTGCACTATATATGGGGTGAAGTGCAAACAACCCTAATAATGCCTTAGAGAAAAAAAAAAAAAAACAACATATATGTTAGATTAGAATTTCCCACTGTGGGGTCCATAAACTATAAGCAGTCTAGACAGAAACACCAGAAGATCCCCACAGGGCTGACAAGTCACGTAGTGCTGGCTCCTTCATTATTCCCAGAGGCTACATACTGTTCAAAAACAAATAAAAAGTGATCTAAATGATTTATAAATAGGATGTTTGCCACAGAGCTGTTATGTAACTGGGTGTTAGGATATAGATGATCAAAAATAGTTACAAAATGCATTCAGCATACTGATACAGTTTAAGAAACAAAAATTGCTCATAAAATAGTCTTATTAGAAGGAAATTAGGAAGCAACTGAAAGGGTAAAATCCTTTCAAGGAATTAATATATTATTTTAAACAACCTGCAGGTGGAGTGTTCAGAGTTAGTAAAATCTAGTACAGAGCTCTAACCTTTCTCTTCAAAAAAAAAAAAAAAAAGTTACCAGGGTTTAAGAGTAGAATAGGGGTGACTCAGAAAACAAAAAGAAAAATAAAACATCACTGCAAGGACACAGTAATTAAACTATCCCAACACAAATAAAGGAAGTTATGACAGAGGTCTCCACAAATGGTATGGAAAAGATGAGGAGGGAACAATAACACAGGAACAAGCTGACTCTCAATAAAATGGTAAGGAACTGACTGTAAAATTAAGGGAATAAATATTTTTTCAGGGAAGGTCTAGTTGTGGGAGCTGCTCCTATAGGATGCCGTGGGTCAAAAACTGTGGATAACTTCAAAACAGGAATAAACAAATTCATAGTGGTAACTATGCCCAGGATGGATAATGGCCACTATGTGATCTGGATCTGGAAAACAGGAAGTTGTGTGAGGAAGATCACCATTTCTTTCCATAAATACCTTCTACTGGGCACTGTCAAAGATCAGTGCAAGAAGGATTTGGCAGCCCCATGAAATCTGTCCTGTCTTCCAAAAACCACGTGTTAAAGCAGCATATCAATTCTAGCACGTGCTGCTAGTACCGATGCTTACTAATTTACCCCAAAATATCCACTGCGGGAGCAGTCAGAGGAAAGCCAATTTCCACATGGGAATGGGAACACTTCAGTGTAAGCTGAAAGCAGAGAAAGCCAGGGTTAACAAATCCTCCCTCACAGCCTACGGGGCTGCAGGGAACACAAATCCCGAGCTCAGCTCCGCCTTCGGCGAGACTCCTGATCCTATGCAGGGACCTCACCTCCTGCATCCACACTCAACCAGCTCCCAGGACTCCAAAGGGGTTTTTCAGTAAGTTATGGTTTTTCATACAGAGTTTAATAAAAAGCAATAAAAGAGAAAATTTCACTTTACTGATGAGAAAACAAGAAGAGTCTCGGGAGAAAAGAGTTTGTAAAACAGCAGCTTGGTACCAGGCTCCATCACAGACCACTTTAGGACACAACATACAACATTTTTTCCTCAGTTTTACCAATAATAAAATAGAAATACTAATGCAGGCTGTAGAAGGGGGTTTTTTATTGTTTGCCTGTGTTGGGTTTTGTTGTCGTCGATGTTTTGGGGTTTTTTTCGCTTTTTTAATTTTAAAGAAGAAATCTCATGGCAAAAATAAAGAAAGTAAAAAATAGGTTTACACGAGTACACACATAATATTCCAGGCTATGGTTTATAATGAATGAAAGAAGAATTACTACTAGAGTAACATTTTACTTTCATTTTTGTTGAAATCATGGATTTCAGTCTACAGTGGGCAGGTTCTATCTGATAAAAGTATCAACAAATTAGTATTTGACTTTTTAAAATAAAGATATAACTTTAGCTACTAAAAAGTCCAAGTAACTTCTTCTTACTGTTATTTTTGGCCAAAACTATAAACTAAATCCAAGAATAATTTACAAACCTTTTGTTTTCAGATGGAAATTGGATTTCCTGAGAACAGACTATTCATCCATAATACCTGGCCCAGAACTTGCAATACTTCCCTGCTTCACAAAGACACCGTGAGACAAAATTAAATAACACTTGCAAGAGGGGGAGGATTTATAAATCACTGCAAGAGTGAAAATAAGGCTCGGTACTGCGAGCCAACTATTCTTTCAAAAGCAAATGGAGATTAAAATATTCGATGGTGTTTGTACAAAGAACAGCTTGAACTCTGCCAGTTCAGAGCTGGCTGTACTCATTAACACAGGAATGCCCTCAGGCTGCTTTGTGTGCAAGGTATAACTCAGGACTGGATTGCTCTGGAGTTGTGAAGGACATCTGGACAGTCATTTCGCCCCCCCCCCCAAAAAAAAAAAAAAAAAAAAAGAAAAGCTTCAAATCTTGAGGAGACCTTGGGTGACAGGAGGCCAACAATCCCCCCAGTGGGAAGGCTGGCAGTCGAGAGTGTATCCTTCTACTTCCTTTTCCTTTGGAAAGTTTCTCTGCACAGCCAAGTTACTCAGTGTAGGCAAACACTGCCTTGAAACAGTAGCTACTGTAGTCATTGCACTCAAGATTACTGAAAGATGACTGGGCAAGATAACTACAAATGATTATAAACAAACATTTGAGGCATGACAGGCTCTTCCTAGGCTGGCCTACTGTACGTCAAGAAGCCAAGTAAGGCTCGATTCTGGCAGTGAATTCCAGCATTATGTCATTCCTCAAGTTCTTAATGAGAACATTTTGACTATTTGCTGGCAAGGATAAAAATGAGAACATGCTGTTCAAATACGAAGGAAAAGAGCAAGTTGAGCAGTTAAAGAAAGCACTACTGAACTAAAAGGCAAGTGCTTATTTTCTAGCTGGATTGTGCAGTGATACAAATACCTTTCATTAATGTCTCGTTGCTGAAAAACAATGTGATGCTACACACAGTTCAAAATAAAGAGTCTCCATATATTTAACATTACTTTATCATTCTTTCAGATATGACTTATAGAACAGGCAGAGAGAAAGTGTGGAAATGGGAAGCATCAGTGGGAAAGAGGCTGTAAAGCAGATTTGCAACTCTAGGGTTCCACGAAATAAAGACAGTGCCATTCTATGATATTTGCTTTGCACATAATATTTCATCTTAGCAATGTTTAAAGGCTTCAACAGTAAAGAAACTTACTCTAATTTTCACTCTGAATTTGTTCATACCCAGCTTAGAAAAATTTCTTAGTATAAGTTTGTTTTAATTAAAACAAGCTTCCTTTCCTGTCACATTTGCTTCAACTAGTATATTCTAAGACTGTAAGGTCTTTCATGCTTCAGTTGTCTAAACTAATCACTTCAAGTTCTTTTAGTCTCTTGTCCACTCCTCTGTTTTCAGTAAGGATTTAAAAATTATTGTTTTACAACTCTCCTAAGTTCAATTTCTTGCACGTGGATTTCCAGATCTTTCCCCAGTTTTAAAGTCTCACCAGCCACAGGTAACAAATGCGTGCCATTAGTGCTGCTTCATCTGTACACGAACTGCAGGGCTGCATTTCCATGGGCCTGAATTCACATCATCACAGCAGCATCGAATCAGTGACTCACAGACACTCCGTGCTTGGCTCATACACCCTGTTCTTTGAAATTCTCTCATCTTTCCCCTGACAAGCTCTGAGCTTGGATAAGCCTTTCCTGTAACACATGACTTTGTACTTGGTGTTACTCTATCAGATCCCATTTTACTCCTCCATTCCTCAAGGTCACCCAATTATTCCGGTCCCACGTCACCCCACAAGGGAGTGTTTCCCAACTCTGTGATGTCAACAAAGTTCACGAGCAAGTTCTAGTTTTTGTGCCAAGATCACTAATGAAGACCTGAACAATACCAGTTTCAGTATCAATTACTGGACAGAGTTCCAACAACTTCCCCCTGCCATTCAGTAGAACATGTTGTCTGTCACCTTTTCCTCTGGGCTGTTTCTTTGCCCATCTGACATTTACCCTAAAAATCACCCTTTTCTCCAGTTTAACAAATTTGTTTGTCTAGAAAAGCAGTTACTGTATCACAGAAAGAAAACAGGCACGTCTGGCATGGCAAAAAAAAATGTTTTATCCTACTGACTTCCACATTCTGTCTTTTTTCTAAGAAGTCATCATGTTTTTTGATTACTTTTGTACAGACTACAGCCATACATATCAAATTTACACCTGTAAATTTAGTTATTAGTTTGCAAATGAAAACAGCTTCTGTGAATAGAAGTGGGGTTAAACATTTTTATATTACACCATAGACTATGAGCAGTGAGGACACCAAAGCACTTTTTTTTTTTTTTTTGTCAGCCTATTCTATACCACAATCCTGTTAAATTTTATTTAGTTGTAGACCGAGGAGCATGAGGTGTGGACTCAACTCACGTATTTTAAAACAAACAATGTTCGGTTTCTCACATGGGACAAAATAATTTTTTGCACTCTATTATCTGAAGTATTTATTTTTCACTTCTGTGAGACAGAGTAGATATTATATGCTGCTACACACTGTGTTATTCCTAAGTTTATACTCACTAAATATTGCTCTTTTGTCTTCATTTTCCTTCATGTTGGGTTTCACCTGGAAATCTCGACTCAGCCACAGAAGCTGTCTGTGTGAATCCGAACCTCTCTGTCTTCCTTTTCTTTTGCTGTTGCAGACATCCACTGGCTTACATCCTAAGAGGAAGCAATAAATGAGACCTGGAAACTTGAAAGGATTGTCCAAGACTGATGCAACACAAACAAAGACAAACATAAAAACTTTATTTATTCAAGAGCACCCAGATGAAGACACAATTTCAAACAAGTGTCTCATAAATACACAGCATGCATAGAATTTCCTTATAGTTCTACCGTTCCAGTAACTAACTTTAAAAACAGGACAGCCTAAAATAGGAAAGGATTTCGGTTGCATTGTTGTTCCACAGAAGTAGATTATTGGACTGGAAATTGGATTATCCAAGGGGAAAAATATTCATTTGCAAGACTTACGCAACCCCCACCCTTTTCCTTGTTCCTAAAGAATGAACAGAGTCAGGCACACAGAGACCTTGTTCCAGGCCCATTATCATCAAAAAGTCTGCAGAAGAATGCAAACCAATGTTTCTTTTTCTCAGTGTGAAATTCTAGATGACTTCAACGAAATTGCTTTTGCCACTCCATCAGAGTTTTAGCACTTGAAAACTCCTAATGTGCAATGAATAAGAGCAAAATATATTGTGTTTATTCCGGCACCTACTGAAAGAAAACTTTTAAAATGGTGGTTATGCTCTAAGAAAGTGTGTCTACAGCTAACTGAGAGGAGGATGAAGGAGAAGAAACCTGAACAGAAAAGATAGGAAGTTTTTTTTTCAAGCTTGCTAAAATAAACCAACACTTAACACTCTCACTCTGCTTCTAAAACTTCACTTGGAGCTTCTGAGATGAAAAAAAACCTGATTCTTTTTTCAGACAGGATCAATCTTCTCCTTCCTTCATTCAGGCCTCCTTATGTCCCCACTTTACATGTATAAATTTTAGGCTCTCTACAGGATGTGGGAATGAGATCAATCAGATGACTAAGCTTCATGTGACTGCTTGCTACATAGGACATGAGGAAAACACTGCTAGAGTCTGTTCAAAAGGAGAGGCTGGGGGTATAGGTCCTCATGGTAAGGGGAGGCTTGAGCACTGGAATATAGTTAGGTAAAGTCACCCATGAAAAAATGTGTCCTCACTTAGCTTACTGAAAGCTGAGTACATATTTTTCACTTGTGCTCTTGTTTTGGATCTTCTCAGCAATACAGCTGAGCCTACGACCGAGAGAACTCGGACTAAAATGTTGCTAGGGCTTCCCTCCAGCCTCCCTAGCGAATGCACATGATTATTGTATGCCACAAATAATAAATACTCTTCATTCTTTCTCTGGCTCTTTTACTCCTTTATGGCTCTCCTTCCTACCAATGTGTTTTCCTCATTATGGGTAACTCTTGCAGCATTGTGCAGAGCGCTGTGTCCTTTTCACTCAGGGAAAAGGACGAGTAACTACAAGAACATCTTGGAATTTGAAGGATTTTTTTTCTCCTCTCGGGGCAGAAAGGTTTAAACATATGATCTGACAATACTCCAAAGGCTCAGAGAACATGGAAAATCACGTACTCTTAAGTAACCCTTACCTTACTTAATGAAACTTTATCCTGCTACAGCCTATGCACAGTAGGGCCCAGTTTTCCCTGGGATCTTTCAAATTACATTTTCTTCTAGAAGAACAATTTTCTTGATCCTCTTTTCTTCCGAGAAGAGCCTCAAACACTTTCTTCAGAGCTCAGCAATTACTCCACAAAAAACGTGACGGCAGATCCCAGCCACTGGAATTAAACATGCATTTCAATTTTAATGGCAGTGTCTCCTCACTATCTTCAAGTCAATGCTAAATGGCCCTTGATCACAGAATATTGTTTATGATAGGCCAATAAAACAGACTGAACCATAACAGGCAGTCTAATGTGTAATGCTGAATTAAATGCAGCAAAAAGACTTTAAAAAAGGAGATGTAACTAGTAAACCACGCCTTAAATTCTGCAAGACCTTGTGGCATTTTCTGCCTCAGACCCTACACCTAATTTGCTAATTTACTTTTTGCAAAATCCCTCAGTAAGTACAGAAACAGTTCCTGCTAAGAATACCAGGTAGATTTCACATGATCAACAGCTCAAAAGGAGGAAGAAAGATCCGTGCAGAAGACTAAGAGTAACGATGGCCAAATCAATTACTCAATAAAACATTGCTTATTTAAAAGAAAAAATCCTCAAAATTTCACCTTCTACCCCTTCAATCTGAGAAGATTTGAAGAAGACATAATTTTTGCATTAAACATTTGAAGATGAAGAGGACAGCAGTTGGCTGAAAAGGCTGTTGTAAACACGTCCTAAGCACTAAGAAGAAATATGAAATAAATTAGAGAACAGGTGTTCCAGTACAGCTACAGCTATGAAAATGTTCATAGAAACACTATATATATATATATATATATATCTAAAACCCAATAAAATTATTTCAGAGGAAAGAATCAGAATTTATCTACAGATCAGCCAGTGGTAACAGCAGTATAGATGACACTGGAAGAGTAAAATTGGAAGACAAAAATAAACCCTTATGTGTGCAGCTGTGAAACCCAGACCTGCAGCTCATTCACCAACGACAATGATGCACAATGCCTGCGTGTTTGAGAAAACCTATTTAATGCAATTACTTTTAAATCTCCTATGCATGTTAAGATTTTTCTTCTGGCACATAACTATCCATAAATATGTTTTAACCTGGACTGGACATGTGCAAAACCCCAATGTCTTGGATGTGCTTAAGGATCTGGATATGGTGTGCCTTCATCCTCTTCCAGCTTCATGTTTCATGTCACACCCCAAACCCACCACCCTCAACCCCTCTCCTCCAAATTTAACACCTTTCCAACCCTCAGCTCTCCAGCTGAACAATCTGTGTTACTAATCCTACCAAACTTTGCATAAGCATGAGGGCTAAACCCACATAAACATTCTTCTGCCCCCCTGCATCATGCCCAGCACACATCCTGCACTGACACAAACTGCAACAGGAAATCATCTGCCCTTGGAGCATTGTTTTGTACTTGCACCATTTATTCTAATTTTAAAATTCTTCTGTTACCTCATTTAGGGCTTCCTGTGCCGCACCTGTGTCATTCTCTGTCTGAACTGTGTGGAAGACTCTGTTAAGATTCACTGCTAGGGAATCTTAAAATATACCATAATTAAAGCTCACAGACTACACTTACTCCGAGAAAAAAAAAGGAACAGGAGAAACCCATATAAATCCTAAGGGACTACTAAAAGATTAGTGGTGAAGAACAAATCCCTGCTGAAGAAAGGGCAGAGGCAAACAAGAAAGCAGAGTTCAGGGAGAAGCAAAAATATCAAAATGAGGTCATAACCAGAATGAGGTCATAATCCCACTTTGGGATACACAGATGCCTTCGCTTGACTGGCTTTGCAAAGAAGTAATGCAGGGATCAAGGACTGAACTGATACTGAACAAAACAATAAGCAATGTTTTATATAAATATACAATAACAAGGTGCACTGACAAAAAAAATTAGATTTTTAATGACAATGTTAATATACCGACTATTAACTTGGTTTTATCCCAAATTTTCTAGTGAGAATTAGGAATTCAAACACTTTAATCAATAAACAGCTTAGAAAGAATTAGAAAAAAAACCTAAGAATGCTTATTGTGCCAATATATTGTATGAGTCTTAGGGCAATGAGAGAATGAGAGATTCAACTCTCCTCAAAAATCACAACATCTAGGAAAATTTTAAGAAAACAATAGGCAAGGAAATATGGTTTCTGTTAAAACTTAAGAAGTATGTATATGCTACTGGCCACAACATCTGAAAGGCTCGAGAAAAAAACATTTTATACAAATCCTATATGAAGTAACTCCAACTTGTATGACTACACAGATCACTGAAAAACATGGTTATATATATATACACACAAGACAAAATCTGGAAAATGTAATACAAATGTCCCCAGTTTGAGGTTTTTCTGAAGTAAAAAGTTGGTCATTTGATGAAAAATGCTGGAGCGGGAAACTGAGAAAACTGCCTTTGCCAGTGGGCTTTTTACATTACCAATATAATAGAAGAAACAGTAGCCAAAACGGGATCAAAATGTATCAATTTTTAACAGAAATGGATACAAGAACAATGGAAGTGTAGCATTGCTATAAGGCAGTGAACTAAACTGATGCAGTGCCTCATGTTCCACACAGTCACTTTGCAATCTGGATGACCTAAAGTAGATGCAGGGAGGGAACTTTACAGTGAAATTATTTAATGTACTATTGCAGAAGATATTATTGGAAAACTAAACATGGTCTTATACACAGAAGCACATTTCCAATCCTGGAAAACTACCAAAAAGGCAACTGGAAGAGCGAGAACACCAGAAGTTGTATTCAGTAGCCTGCGCCACTGATGTTGGGTGTGGTAACACTTAAAATCTCATTTCTAGTCTAGAAATGAAATGTGTTAATGAAATCTCCATGTTTGTCCAGGAAGATGGTCATAATAGCGAAATATAAAAGGTACTCGAGCAACCAGAAACATGAGCATTCACGAATACGGAATTCCTTTTGCAAATAACAAAAGGAAACACCCCTCCCTCGCCAAAATAATAGACCAGATAAAAATCATAGGGAACATGACTTTGGGACAGTGACCCTCGGGCAGGTGATATGTATAATATAATAATAATAATAATAATAACAATACAGGATCTTTCTGGGCAACATGGAAGTCAGATGTAACTCTGGGGTGTCAAAAATTACTTGTGTGGGGTTTGGCTCACAAGCTGCCCCTGGCTCCAGCTGCCACTCCGTGCCACCGCTTTTTCCCAGGCATCTTGAGGAAAGCCTCAAAGTGCGTGTAGCCAGATATCCTGGAATGAGCGCTGGAAAACAATTGCTGGAAAAACAACCGCCGCCGCGCTCCTTTTAACGAGTTATAGACTTCAAACCTGAGGGCCTGAGGGGCAGCCGCCGCAGCCTCCAAACTTTACACTTCGGGCAGCCGCGCCCTCAAACAGCGACATGGCGGGCAGGGAGCAGCGGGGTGGTAGCACGGCTCTCCCTCAGCAGCCTCGGCGGGACGCAGGGAGCGCGATCCCGACCCCGATTCCCGATCCCAGCCTCGCTCCCGCCCCGCCGCCTCAGGCGCCATCGCGTCCCCCTCATGGCGCCCTCAGGCCTCGCGCTCCTTCCCGCGCGCCTTCCCGCGCGCCCACCGCGCAGGCGCGCTGGCTGCGGGCGCGGCCACAACTCGGGCCTCTCCCTCCCTCCTCCTGGATCGGGAATATCCGGGATACCGGCCCGGGAAAGCTCTGGCAGTGCGCAGGCGCGGCGGCGCCAGGCCGCGGGAAGGCGGAGGAGAGAGGGGGGGAGCGGGAAGGAGGAGCGGGAAGCGGGGCGAAGCAAAAGTTGCTGTGAGGGCGGGGCCGCGCCCGGAGTCGCCGCCGGGAGGGGGCGGGAGAGGAGCTGCGTGAGGAGCCGCCGCGGGTGAGCCGGGGGTCGGGCAGGGGGAGAGCCGGGGCTCGGGCGAGGGGAGAGCCCAGGGTGGGCGGGAGGTGGGTCGGGGTGTCGGGCAGGGTGGCGGCGGCGGTCCCGGCGGGGGAGGCAGCGGCGGTGCTGCGGTGGGACGCGGGACGGGACCCGCCGCCGCTTCCCGGCCGCGGGTTCGTGCGGGGTTAAATCCCTGCCGGGGTGCGTGGGTGCGGGTCAGCGGCGGCTCCGCGCTGTCCCCGCGCGTTGTGTAAGCCGAGGGCACTCTGCGAGCGCCGGGCTCTCCGGGTTTAATGTTTAACGCGGCGCTCACATGCCCACCGGCGAGTCTCGCAGGAGTGTTTTCCGAGGGCTGTCTGGAGCAGGAAATGCCAGTGCAGGTAGTTGTGGGGCTGTTTGAAATTTAATCGGTTCGCAGTGTTTGGGAGGCAGAGCTGTTTGCCGGGCTCGTACGGATGGAGTTTCGGGGGCGTGTAGGTAGGTGCGTGCAAATGGCATGCAAATCATCTGCTTAGCATCTGGTGTAAGTTTGCGTTTATCCCCTTACTTTGATTTTCAATGCAAATACTTTAAAAGCTGCTTTTCAGGGGAGACATAGCTTGTTCTCTCTAAGTGTGTTTTCCCTTCCCAAAATAAGTGTTTCACGTTTTACTTAGTGCTTTATTTTGTGTGTGCGACCCACCCCGCAAAAAAACCCCCCGAACGCTTAAGCTTTTTTAACTTTGAAGCTTCTGAGATTATTTTGAGAACAACTTAATTGTGTGAATAGTATTGTGCCTGACTGATGATACAGTAATCCCTTCCACCTCAAGGCAATGGAAAATGCATTGACAGACTTTATTAGTAACTGCTCTTATTTTTTGTGGAATGAAAGGGTGATTTTTGGTGTCGAAATAGCTCTAATGTTATAATCTGACTACAAATTAGCCTTGTTAAATGGTAAATAATCCTTTCTTCCCCTAACAAATTGCTGCAAAGTAAGAGGTATTAGCTGGTTATTTTTTTAAAATATCAAATGACTTGTGTAAGAAGTTTTCATCCCAGGCCAGTGGGATGTTGACAGTAAAAACACCTAAAATATGCACTTGACTTTCATATCAAAACTTGATAGTGCAGGATCTTTTTTGGTCGTACAGTGTGCATGATGTGCTACTGACAGCATTGTTTGGGTGTGAGACCCAGAGGGCTTTGGGGTCAGGGTATTGGCGCTGTCACGTGCTTTGGTTACACTGCTTTCCAAGATCTCGGTAGCAGCACTTTGTCCTTTTTCCTTGGTTAATGCCTCTTGGTAGAGCAAAGCAGTTTAGTCACTTGAGGGACGTAGTGGTGGCAACCAAACCCATTTCACAGAGTTCTCCAAAAACCTCACGGTTTAAGCAGAAACAGGTTGGAGTTTGTCGGGCCCGGGTTAAATGATGATGGGTTGAGGCTGGATCAGAATTTTTGATGTGTGGGTAGAGTGAAATGTTTGTAGGTAGGTTTGTGCAGGATTTGTTCATGAAGAAACATACGAAGTGTAGTGATTCAGACATTCTAATGTTCCCTTTTTTTTTTTTTTTTTTTTTTTTTTTTTTTTTTTTTTTTTTTTTTTTTTTTTTTTTTTTTTTTTTTTTTTTTTTTTTTTTTTTTTTTTTTTTTTTTTTTTTTTTTTTTTTTTTTTTTTTTTTCCCCTCCTCAAGCCTGGAAAAGATGTGTGGGTTTAAAGATGATGCTCACATTACCATTCCTTTTAACTCGGTTATGCAGTTTTTTCCCCCGGTGACTTAAAGAATTGGAAAGCTTTTTGGGAAGGAGCAGAACTTGGTATTTTGCACTTCTGTTAATGATCAAACGTCTGCAGAGAGAACTGAAAGGCAGAGGCATTTAATCTGGGATAAAAAAGCAAGTGTGAAAATTATCTCTGTAAGGATACATTCTATCTTTTTAAAGCTCAGGAAAGAGTACATTGTAGTCTTTGAACAAAACTCCTGGAGGAAGATGGAGAAACAAAAATCTTCCCTAGTGTTTGTGCGATGATTCACTGTGAATGCCGGCCCATGTCATGGGCTGGGAATTTGTATTCTCCAAGATCTTTACTCAGAGTTCCCATTGTAACCATTTCTGAAGGCAGCTTCCAGTCGTAACAGCCCAGAGAGGCTGAGCTGTGAACCTGTTGTTTTGGTTTTGCTGCGAACAGGGAAGTTTTTATTGGAACAGCTTAAAGAAAAAAATTGTGTACTTATATAAAAGCCATCTGGGATAGCATCTACCCTTCTGGTGCTCCCATCCTGAATGGATACAGAGGAGTATGACGTGCAGGAGCAGTGGTTTGGCATATGAGAGACAGCTAAATGGGTAAGGGCTGGGGAAGAGACAATAGAGGTCTTTAAAATAGAAACAGTCTGGGTTGGAAATCTTCGGGGATTGTTTGGAAGATTTTCTAGAGGAGATACCATCAAATACTCCTTTGGTGTCTTGGGGACTTCTTGAGTCAGTGACAGAAGGAGCAAGAATGTGTCAGACCAATGTCAGCCAGCAGTAATACACTGGTATTGGTCTTGTCTTGCAGTGTTGTTCTTGTTTCATCTTATGTGTCTTGCAAGTAAGTGCTATTAAATGAAGTTTTTCTCTCTCTCTGATGTTTCAAATAGCGAGAATTTGCATTCCTGTAAACATATTTCTTTGACAGCTTTTGAAGCGAATACTGTAATTTTCAAAGACCAAGACTGGTGACTACGAAAAGCATTTCATGTGTCTTCTGGTGCATGAGATCTGTTGCCAAAAACAGTTTAACTGAATGGTAAAGGTGGAAGGGGACAGGATATGTGCAGGGACCAAAAAGATTGGATTCAGCCCCATTGAGGTGGATGTAAGACTTTATTCCTTTCAAGTTTTGGCCTTTTTCTACAGTTTTGAAGAAGCAGCTTCACTATTAGTTTATTTGTTTTTTCCAGTCTGGGGAAAAATCATTGCAGCCTCCAGCGCCGTCACAACACAAGTCAGATTTTTGTTCTGCTCACGGAAATTGGCAATTTGAAATGACAACCTTTTGAGCTGTGGGAAAGACTCAAATTCTTGCTGTTGCAAGTTGTTGAATTTTTGATGGGTTTCATTCTGTTGGGGAGGAAACAGTAACCCCGGTCCCAGTAATGTTGGCTCACCACAGAGAACTCTAGTGGTTTCCCCTCATATTTTACTCCCTTGTAATATATTTAATCACTCTCCCCTCACAATTTTTGTTGTCTTGTGTCTAAACTCCCGAGTTACATCCGTTTAGAAACTGATTTACCGGAGCTGTCAGACTGTTGGGTGGGTTGCCAGGCTCGGCACAGAGGCGTGAGCTGCAAGCAGAAGCAAAAAGCTGTGTGGCTTAAAAGTAACCCCAGCACTGGGCATGGGGAGGCTTTGCCGTTAGGCAATTATGCAACCCACTCAGAGCAGTTGCAGAGTGAAGCTGAGAAGATGCAAATAGCGATTCTTCGGCCAAATTTCAGAGGCACAAGCAGTCAACTACTTTTGAACCCCCTGGCAGGTTTCCACCCAATTTGAGAGAAGGGACAGAAGCCTTAAAGATGATTATGTGCTTATAAAGTGCGTGAAAAGAGGCAGCTGGCTGGAAGAGAGAGACCTCGTAGGAAGATGTGAGGAGCAGAGTTGGCATGTGCCCCAGCTAGGGAGAAAACTGTGAGAGCTCAGAAGTTATCAGGAGCCCAGGCCCTGGTAATTCCAGTGCTCACAGAACCAACCGCTTATCTCACCGGTTTTATCTAAACGGATATAAAAGATGCTTAAACCCAAATGTGCTCGTAGAAGGTGATTCTACTAGGTAAAATAGCAACTGCACTGATGTCTAAGCTTCTTTAGTGGCACTGTTCTTACACTGAGAAGTCTGTGGCACTGCAGTTCCGTTCGAGGCTGTACCACTGCTGCAGGTGATAACACGCAGTTTTGCTGACAAGCGTGTTTGTTATTGTTATTGCTGTAAAGGCAAGTGCCAGAAATTTGTGACAGGCATGTCTTTTGTCCTGTAAGGCTGCACGACTGAGGCTAGTCAGGTGCTTGATGAGGTCACTGATGACTGAAGAACAGTGACTGAAATTGGGCAAGGTGGAAGAACTTGGGCTGGTAAATAGATACTGGTTTGAGAGCCCATAGCCCTTGTTTGGTTGAGAAGAGTTGGCAAAATCAATTCCGTTATTCTGAAGGGTGAGAATATTTCTTTAACTCTCAGCAGCTAAGAATCTCATGGAGTGTGTCAGTAACACTGTGTGAAATAACTGTTTTGCTGAAAGATTGCACCCACTGAAGACTTGGGATGTGGTTCAGTCACAGAATGGTTTGGGTTGGCAGGGACCTCGAAGACCATCTCGTTCCAACCCCCCTGCTGTGAGCCGGGACCTGGCCTTGAACACTTCCAGGGACGGGGCAGCCACAGATGACTTATGGTCCATCCACCTTTGATTCGGGGTATTAGTGGAAAAAGAAAGGGTACTGGCACTTCCACCTATGAAAACTGCACAATGAATGTGTTCTGAAACAATTTTTTTTATTAAGTGAATCACGATAACTTTTCCTGAAACCCAGCAGCTAAAGGCTTGGTGCATGGAGTGTTTTTTCCAGGGCATCCCTGATATGCAAAACAAAATAACTTCCTGTAAGTTTTAAGTGAATGAATGCTCTTTGTTGTAAGTTGTCCTGGAAGAACTCTTGTTTCCTAAGCAGCACGTGTATTTCTAATAAGACCTGAAACCGCTATGCATTTCTAGTTATTCCCTACAGTTCTTTTTCCTTGCTCTTTCTGGGTTTATTGAAGTGAACATAAAGAAACCAAAATTGCCGCCTGATGTTGTGTCAAGGTCAGTTTGCAGTGAGATCTCAGAATCTTTGCTCGGTGTCTGCCACAAATCACACTTACCATCTCCAGTATTATTAAATCAAATTACTTACGGGTGAGATACGGTAACATCAGTAAACAAACAAACCCCATCTGATTATTCATGGGGCAAAAGAGACTTTTGGTTATGTTCCAGTTATTGATTTATTTTTTTTTAATAATGCAAGCAAGTACCAGTGCTTCTTTTAAATAAAAGGGATGGTTTGAGGGGTGTTAAGATTTCATGCGTGCTGGTGAAACCTAAGGTGAATATCTTACTTGTAATGTGAAGCCAAATTCACTTTTTTTTTTTTTTCTTTCCCACATTTGCAACCCTAATTGCTTTGGTTTATATAAATTTATTCTGTTCTGTGCTGTTACTTCAGATGTTTATGTGGGTGATGCAGTAATGCCAAACTGGTAGAATAATCCATTGTTGTGAGAGAGTCGCTGCTTGGGCTCTACATGTGGTGATGTTCTGGATGTGGAACCGTTTAAACCTTAAACACGTTCCTCCAACAATGAGGGAAACAACTCTTATTGTTGGGATTGGAAAATCTTGGAATGGGTTTTTGGAGGCAGCGAACAGAATGTTCCTGCTTTGCTCTTAGCAGTGTTTTTCTGGGTGCTTTGAGAATGCAACTGGGTTAAAGACCTCATTTTTAGGTAGTGTTACTCATGTATTGTACGGTCTTTTTATAAGATGCTGAATGTTGGTAGAAGAACCTTTATAGTCATGTTATTATGGTCTTTAGAGCTATATAATGATTCTGGAGATATATTATTATGATAGAGAAAATAATTTAATTTTTCTGCCTTAAAAAATTTTTTTTAAGTGGTGATTTTTTTCTCATCCTTTTCCCTGGTTATTGCATCTGCCAGTAGATTAGGATACTGTTTTAGCCGTGATCTCTTTTCTGATTTAGGAACTCTCTAACATTTTGGAATTTTTTTTCTTAAATTTTCTTTTTTTTTCCTATTTCAGGTTCACCGGAAAGCGAATGAAATAAGCATGGAGTCCTCTAAACTGGAATATATTTTCATGGGTCACAGTTAAAAGTAAAAAGAAGATGGAGGGAAATGAGAGAAAGGGAGTATAAAACCTGTCAAGAACTTCCCATTTTTGTGATTATATATATAAACTCTCGATATAATACAACTAATGGTTTATAGTAACACTTCACTGCTATCCCTGGAAGAAGTCAGTGACTGTGCAGCTTGCTTAACAAGAACTTATACTCTAACAACTTTGAACATGTTTTAACCTTAACTGGACACCTTTTATTTTATTTTATTTATTTTTTTTTTAAGTCTGAGAGTTGAAAACTTTGCTTAGCTGTATTTTTACTGAGACACCGATTCCTGATGGAAAATGGACTTAAACCCACAAATGGTTACTATTGCACAGAGTTGAATGGAATGCCATGACTTTGGAAATATTCTTGTAGAACCACCTTCTTTGCCTTGCACCCATCATATCCTTAAATATTCAAGAGTAAACCTTGCAGTTAGAAACTCTAAAAAATAATGGCATGGGTGAAATTCCTAAGAAAACCTGGGGGAAACCTTGGAAAAGTTTATCAGCCTGGAAGTATACTATCCCTGGCACCAACAAAAGGCTTATTGAATGAACCTGGACAAAACAGCTGCTTTCTTAATAGTGCTGTTCAGGTAAGAAAAAACTTGATTTATTAAACATTTTTTTTGAGTAGCCTTTCCTAAGTGGATGGGGGGAAAGAAACGTGGCAGTTAAAGAAAGAAGACTCTGTCTGGAAGGAATTTCACTCAGCAATTTCATTTTAAGGAGTTGAGAGTATTAAATATTTAACGTTGCAAAATAAAACTATGTAGTATTTTATTTACATGCATCAAGAATGTCAGGAAAACTTCCCTTTTGTATTTGGAAACTTGGGAGTCAAATAGATGTACAGACTTCCTGTGAAAACTGGCAGGCTTGAAAATGGCAAGGATTTAAACATGGGAGATAGGAGAGGTAGTGCCATGGTGTGTTTGTGGTTGGTATCTAAATGCGTTCAAGATAAAAATGTGGAATGTTTGCTGGTTTGCACTCAATGGGAACAGCATGACCTATATTCTCTTGCAGTTCTGCTATTTTTGTTTAGGGTGCCCTAAAATTAAACCCTATGCAGTTTTACTTACAGTTCTAGACAATCCTACTGCCCCACAACACACTGCTGGTCCTCAGGCAGTGGCTGATGGTTGGTGACTGCCCTTTTGCAAGCAGGAATGTGTTCCTTTCTTTTCTCTAACCTCCCTTCAACCTTCAGGACTGAGCTTTGGGCTCTGCTTTTCAAGCGCATCCCAATTCATTTTAGCTTTTATATTTATAGATAGGATATTTTTTCCCCCTGGATTTGCAGCTGTTCTGTTACTGTGCGTCTTGAAAACTCGTTTTTGTGGAAGGGAGGGTGTTATTTTTACTTTTCTTTAGCGGGTAACTTTCTGAACTACTTCATGTGTACCTAAGACACTAGATACTGAAAACTGTAGCCATGCTGATACTGCCTTTGTGTAGAGTAGCTGCACAAATAAAAGGTGGTAACACACCTGTTTAAGCACCAGAACTATTCTGAACTGTGGAAAAACAAATGCATTTCAGCAATCATTTTAGTAAGAGCTCATAAGAATGTGGTATAGACTTATGGAGAGCTGTAAGAAGACTGCTACAATCCCTGGACACAGTTTAGCTTGCTGCTTCTTTGCTTAGGAGTCCTTATTTTTCCAAAGTACAAATAATTCTAATAGTTAAAAAAAAAAAAAAAGAGATCTAAATTTCAAGAGCTGAAAGCAAAACTTTCACTTCCACCCCCACAGTTTACCAAACCAAAGGAAAAGGCCCACAATATTGGTACTTAAGTTGTGCATTATGTGAAACGAAGGAAGAAATTAGCAGCTACTGTATGTTGTGCTAAATGAAGAACCCTCAGAAGTCGTTACTTGTTTTCTCTGAAACTCTGTTTTTTATAGGTATTATGGCAGCTTGACATATTTCGACGAAGTTTAAGAGGTTTAACTGGGCACGTGTGTCAAGGAGACGCCTGCATATTTTGTGCTTTAAAGGTAAATAGTAAACTTAGAATCATCCCTCAAAAATGAGGGAAGAGTAATTTAGATTGTTTTCATTAAATTACGTCTGTATCCTACATATGCCTGGGGGACTCTCTTAAAGTCATTCTTGTGTAAAAAAACCGGTTTAGATATAGGGACATTTGCAACGGAAATATTTTCTTGTGTTTAGAGAGGAAACTTTACACAAAATTTAGTCTAGTTAAACATAAAAGTTCTGTCAGTGCAAATAAGTCATACTGTCTTTTAAAGTATGGTAGTAGATCCAGTGGTAAACTGGGAATCACGTATCTGGAGAGAGCTGAAAGGAACAAGACTATTGGAAAATGTTTCACTGAGGGAGCGATTTTTTTTTTTTTTTTTTTTTTTTTTTTTTTTTTTTTTTTTTGATGATGCTAAATGGTAGGCAAAGGTAAGCCAAGTATTTAAGAGTTTACCCTCAGGGAGCTGACTGAGTGTTTGGGGCAAGAAGTGTTTGCAGTGACATTTCCTTCAGGATGTGTATAATCTACGTACTGTGTACTTTTTCCAGTAATTTTTAGTGTTTATCATCACTGCAGTATTATGCAGTTAGTTTGGAACGTGTCTCTGTCTTTTTCCAAACGTTTTTTTTTTTTTCCTAAAAGATGCTGTTTCATTTCTTTGGTTAAAATGTTTATTTTTAATAAGCCAGCAAGTTGAGACTACACATATTCAGACCAACTTCCTGGGGCTTTTATTCCAACCTTTTTCAAAGCTCTTGACTCTGAAGAACCCATTAGGACTTTTTGTTTCCCCAGTGTTTCGATGCACCTCGTGTTCTTCGGTGTGCTGGGCACTTGATTTTGTTAGTACAGAAAGTGCTGACCCATAACTGGGGCATACCTGCGTTTTCAGATTGAATCTCGCTTCTGTCTTGGGGTGGTGGCTGTAGTTCAGGTTTGGCATCACTTTAAGCCACCTCCCAAAGCAACGCGCTGCCTTCAGCTGCTTCCCGAGGCTGCTCGAATTTATGGGAATCTTTATTCTTTCAAGCTTCTGTTCTTGAGGGATTGATGACTCCATGATGCACCTTGTGGGATTTATCTAAATGGCTCACTGTGCATGGATGTTTGGCATTGCCTGGACGGAGATCTTCCTATTTTGATCCACTCCCAAGAATACTGTTAAAAAGTGGTATTGCTGCCTGTTCTGAAATTGGTGGGAATGGAATTAGTTATTTTTTTTTAACAGCAAATCTGTGATCTTTAACTCCCTGGCCTATGCACTGAGCTCAAAACCTTGCAGTTAATTCATTTGGAAGTATCTGTCCTGAGCTGTTATGTACACTACTGGTTTTGCTTCCTTGGCTCTTTAGAGATGGTGGTTGAGTAATTCTGTTTGTTCTGTGTTCAGAACCTGGGGCGTTTTAATTTCCATGCAATGTATGTGCTGGATGAGGATGCATTTCAGTAACTTGTTTGTGACTTGGGTTGGTTTTTTGGTTTTTTTTTTTCTTTTTGGTCTTGGGCTATTTTAACCCTTTTTACTTGTTCACCAGTTAAAGAAGGATATTATCTACAGATAGCTTCTATAAACTAAAAGCAGAGCCAATGAGTTCTAGTTTACCTCTGTTCAATCCATTAGCTCTTTTCTTTTGGTGGTGTTCAAGAATTAAATATGCTCTGTTCTTTTTTGGATAACACTGGGGTGGGACTTTGACTCCCCAAACGGAGCAGAAATATCTGCACAGCTGCTTATCTGTACTTTTTTTTTCAGCTGGGCATAAAAGGCTCTGTTGCATACCAAAAATTACCTCCAGCCAAAATGAGTGTTGATGACAAGTTTTCAAAGGAGAGCTGTTAAAAGCTTCATTTGGAATGTTTACATGGAGATAGTGACTGTAATTTTTATCAGTAGTCCCTGCTTTTTGTTTTGAGAGGGAACTTTAAATATTTGACAGACACCCTGGAATGCATCATGGTTAAAACAGTAACTTTTGTTAGCACTGAAACTTTGCTTATCTGTTGCATCTGTGCCTTCTATCCAGAAGGAACCTTTGTCTCTGTTCCCTTCATTTCCCTCTAAAGCTTGACTTAGAATTCTTGACAGTGGAATATACCCTGTAATATCTGAAAATATGTGATTCATTTAATAGCTTTTAACTTCCAGTTCTTTCAAAATCAACCTTCCTTGCTTGCTAAATGATGAGGTCGCTTGCGTGTGTATCTCTGCCAAAAAGAGAAAAGTAGCAGCCAACTCTCTCTTCTGGGAAATGAAGGAAAAATCAAGTGCAATTTATTATCATGTTCTGGAGCTGCAGATACTGACCTGTTCTCTTGTATTGTGTGCAGCGGGTCAGCAGTGAGCTGATTTAATAGCAAGGATTTATCAGCACTCAATCTAATTTATGGGAGGTTTTTAATATCCATAATTTTAATAACGATGCATTGCCCTCTGAAGTAGTGCTGTGAATATTGCACTGTTTAATGAATGGTGGGTGTAAAACTAACCTGAGTGGTTTTCCACTACGCCCTAACAAATACACACCATCTGTAAAGATGAGATACATATGGATGAACTTCTATTCCAGTGGCCAGATTTAAAAAGCTGTGTAATTACAAACCAGAGGGTTTTGGGAGTTAAAGTCAATCATTTGCACTTTTATATACTCTTATATTGTTGTTCTATTGGATCAAAGTTCACTTCGATAACAAAACTTCTTATCGTGGAATCGGCAACAGAACACAGAAACCAAGTACCTCCAGGAGAAAACAGGAATTTGTAAAGTTGCCTAGGCTTATAAACATTATAAATACAAACATTTCATGTATTTATTCAAGAACTGATGTATTGGTGTAGAACTGCAGTGTCTACTCAAGTGGGCAATGAAGCCAAGTGATTGTATTTCTTCCTAGGCAATCTTTTCACAGTTCCAGCACAGCCGAGAGAAAGCCCTCCCGTCGGACAACATGAGACACGCCCTCGCAGAGAGCTTCAAGGATGAACAGCGTTTCCAGCTGGGATTCATGGATGATGCAGCAGAATGCTTTGTGAGTTTTATGCAGAATTGTGTGTAGTTGATGCCAAGCTAGCCTGTTGTTTTGGTGGCTCCAGGCTCACGGGGAGGATTCAAGTAATATAATGTTCCTGATCTTCTTTATGCCAGTTCAGGGCAGTGAGGATGGTGAGCTCTGAGTCACTCTTGGAAATTTTTGGGTGGAGAGAAGGGTTATCTTCTGAGGAGAAGCAGCACCTATGGATTTGAATATATAGTCTGTTCTTCCAAGTATTCTCTCATCAGCTGTTGAAATATATTCCATTACAACTCACCAGCTCATTACTGAATTCTTCTGCAGAAGAGATTTCCATTTTCTTATCCAAGAGTGAAGGGATACTTGAAGATCCTGACTTGCTGTAGTTTATTTTCTGCTTTTATTGTCATTGAAAAACATGAGCCATTAATATGGCCATTAAAGATGACTCCAAATGGCACAGAACTCCAGTAAAGAAACCTTCCAAAGAGCTCCTGTGTTAGACAATGAAAATGTTAGCCATAAAACACTGACAGTATTAACCTTCACACGCAGATTTGAGGGGCAGAAAACTTTGCCGCTTCAGTGCTTTGGACTTGTCACAATACTTCATGAAATAACTTCATAAATGAAATAAGTTCATCTTTTGGAAGAATCCACAAATTAATTCCCCCTACCTGCCAGATGCATTTTCACCTGAAAGCAATTGTTTGAGATCTTGCAGTCAGGTTAATGGATTGCAGTCTTGAAAGAGAGCCTGTCATTAATGTTCCATCTATTCAAAATGCATTTGAACCCTGAACTAATCAGCTGTCTGATCTACCTGAATAGACTCCCTTCTTCCCATTACCTCTGGTATTTTAGGCAAAAGAGATGAAAATGGCCATGCAGATTCAGGGGCCAAACTCATAGCAGTCATAGTACTTTTTGGTGCCAAGGGGAGTAGCTGGGAGTATTAAATTGTAATGGTCCTCACGTATTCTGAGTCCATCAGTTCAGTTTGTATTTACGTTGATGTTTCTTTTCAGGAAAATATCCTCGAGAGGATTCACTTTCACCTAGTGCCAAACAGTGAGACGGATATGTGCACTTCCAAGTCCTGCATTTCCCATCAGAAGTTTGCTATGACGCTGTACGAGCAGGTCAGACCTTCCTTTGATTGCTTTAACAAAGAACCCGTTTTCTCTGTGCTGAGTGAATAAAAACCCGCGTCTTTGTGGTTTGTTGCAGTGCGTCTGTCGCAGCTGTGGAGCATCATCGGACCCGTTGCCTTTCACGGAGTTTGTGCGTTATATTTCCACCACAGCCCTCTGGTAAGTGCTTTCTGTGCTTTGTTACTCATTTTTCTATATCCTCATTTCCAATAAGAAATTAAGAAGAGTAAGTTAATTGAGAGTTGGCCGAAACGTGTTGACTCTGAAGAAGTGAGATCCACGGTTATGTCATTTGTTTTTTACAGTAACGAAGTAGAGAAAATGATGGAGAGGCACGAACGTCTCAAGCCAGAAATGTTTGCAGAGTTGCTGCAGGCAGCAAATACTGCTGATGACTACAGGAAGTGTCCTGTAAGTAAACAAAGATGCTACATTACTTTAAGGTACAAGGGAGAACTCTTCAGGATGATAAACCAGGATAAAGTATTGCCCTAAAAGCAGGGTTACCTCTGGCTGCTTCAGCACAGACCAGCTTAGGGTGAAAAAAACCCCTAAACTCATATTTTAAGGCTCCAGTTATTGAGATTTTGATTTTAAGGTGGTGATTGGTAGAAGTTAAGCTGTAGCCTTCATCAGGGGGTTTTTATGATGAAGAATGTTCCCCTTAAACTGTTAGAAACAAACACCACAACTAAATTTTAGAATTAGAAGAAGTTGCAGAATTACGTTGTGCTAATTCTTGTGTAGTAACTCCCCTTTGGACTTCCATTTTTTTAAACACCTCTGTTTTCCCTCCCATCATGTTGGTTTTTTTCCCTTTTTTTCAGAGTAACTGTGGTCAGAAAATAAAAATTCGTCGTGTTCTTATGAATTGTCCTGAGATTGTGACAATCGGCTTAGTCTGGGATTCAGAACACTCTGATCTGACAGAAGAGGTTATGAGGAATCTGGCAACACAGCTTTATCTTCCTGGGGTACCTGACCTAAAACTTACTCTTTGCTTACTCTAGAATTTAATTTTACATGGATTTTATGGTTATGTAAATATTTGCAACATAGAAATACTCACATGTATTTTTAACAGCCCAATTGAACTGCACAGTTTATGTCTGCTTTTCCCATTCTTTATAATGTGCTGCTTGATGTAGTTACTGTGAGAGGGGGAAAAGTCCTGTCAGAAATGTTGGTTTTGTGCCTAAGTACAAAGGTTAGTGTAGGTGTGTTCCTAGTTGAAAATCTAGGAATATAATTTTCAGTTTGAAATTTGTGGAACTATTCCAGAGCATTAATATTTTACTCTTTCAAATAGGAAAGTAGTCAATACCAGTTGCCTTGGTGAAATGCCAGCAGCAGGTCAGAAAACTGAGGCTAAATGTTCTACCCACATTTTAAAAGATACAATCTTTTTCTACAGCTGTTTTATAGAGTTACAGATGAAAATGCCAAAAACAGTGAGCTTTTCCTTGTGGGAATGATTTGCTACACGAGCCGACATTACTGTGCCTTTGCCTTTCACACCAAGAGCTGCAAATGGGTGCTGTTCGATGATGCTAATGTCAAGGAGGTAAATGCTACTTTTACTCCTACCAAATTCAGTGATCTTTTCTTTCCTAGAGCGCATTCTCCTGACACCAAACTTGAAGAAAGTCAAGGCAGCGTTTTTATTTTAATAAACCTTTAGTTTTGTAAACCGGTTTTCACGGATGAATTCTGGAGGTGGCTTCGCTGCTTTCTAGTTGTGCCTGACAAATGCTGAATGTTCCAGAATGTTCATGCACTTGTGCACTGTTGAATTTGTACTTCTTTTAAAGAAAGAGAAGATGCTGTTGTATTCATAGGAATGATGTTCTAATTGTTATCCCATGGAATATTATTCTTTCTGCTGCAGTTCATGTACCCTGATGTGTTGAAATGTGTAAACTGTTGAATCCTCATGTACCTTTGGAATTAGGCATTTGGTACTGGCTGCTTGATAAATTATTCTTTATTTGGATTCAGAGCTGTTGTTAAAGTTTTGAGGTTTGTTTTGTTGGGGTTTTTTTTTCTTAGATTGGAACAAAATGGAAAGACGTGGTCTCCAGGTGCATTCGGTGTCACTTCCAGCCATTGCTGCTATTTTATGCTAACCCAGATGGCACAGCTGTATCTCCAGAAGATGCACCAAAGCAGATTATTCACTGGTCTCAGTGTAAAACAGCAGGAGGAAGTGGGGAAGACTTGGGTAATTAGATATATTTAAATTTTTTAAAATAAATATCAGCTATATTTATGAAATGGGGTTTATAAAGGAGGAGGTAACAGATTGGCTGCTTTGTTCTTATCAATCATTATCTAAAGGGTCTCAGAAGAGATTAGTCTGTATAATCGATGTTAGAACTGTTTGGTTAATAAGGGAATAAAAATTGAGACTAATGGATAATAGGGAAAAAAGATTTTCTGTTGTAGACTGGTCAGAAGTGCTTTGCACAACTTCAGTAATTTGAGAAGAAAATTGTAGTGTATTTTTATATGCATGTGTTCTTACGTGTGTATTGAAACATTTAAAATACCTTTTCAAAGTGCTATAAAAAGATACTTTAAAGTTTCATGCACATATAGATTTGGAGTATGTGTGTCTATGTGTGTGTGTGTATATATATATATATACACATAAATATATGTACAGAGAGCACAGTTCAGAACTTTGGGAAAAACCAAAAGGAACTTCGGGAAACTTCTTTTATCTGAGATTCACTCGCTGTAAGAATCCAGCCTTTTGGTTCTGCAGTTTGTACTGCTGTCTTGTTGGGTTTTTTTTAAATTTTAATCTTAAACATAACTTACAAGTAAATTAAATAAAAGCCAAATCGAATTTGACATGTTCCTCTTCACATAATGCATAGTGATAGGACACAGACTGCTTCAGGGAGGAAAGAATTGAGGACCCTCTTCCACTACAGGCTACCACTATAAATATGGCAGTATATCAAATATACTAGTATATCAAATTCCCTAGTACAGGGAAATACAGTGTGGGCTTTTGTGAGGTTTTTCTTCTGTTATTTTTTCATCTGCAATTTTAAAAAGCTTTTTTTTTTTTTTTTTTTAATTTAGATATTGAAAATTTTAACTTAGGGAGCTTTTTTCTGTCTAAAGACAAATGTATTGTTTGACAGGATTTGAAAAGCATTCTGCTGCTAAATCAGAGCACGTGAAAGAGAACGGAATTGGAGATCCCCCTAATCAAAGGAGTAATAAAAAGCTTCAGCCAGATAATTCAGCCTTCAGTAGAAGCCACATTCAAGCAAGTGGTGGTAGAGGCCCAGGTTTGTATTCACCATTCCCACCCAAAAAAAACCCAGATATGCCTTATTATAAACTATTTCAGATTATGGCATTTCAGGTGTGTGATAACCTCGGGAGCAGAAGTGTTTCTAGAGGAGGAATTCCATCATTGACTGACAGTTGTTGTTCAGACATTCATTCAGTGTTTAAGTAACATGTGAATATCTGCCATGGAATGTTAACTTTTCCAGAGAACTGCAAATGCAGAATATTTTTTATTACCCTTATTATTCCTTCACTAAAGCGGCTCTTGAGGCTTTGATCCATTTCTCAATCGTCATCAAGCTTTCCAGTCAAGTTGTTGGTCAAAAGGCACATTAGTGACTTGAGGCTGAGGGGAGGCTCTGTGGATCACTGGCTACCCAAGGAACACTTTTCCCCAATAGTATTGTGATATGCAGCATTATTTGTAGTCCTCTATGTTACTGGACTTTATGCATGGGAAGAAATCCAATTTTCTCAACCTGCGTTATGTAACCTATCAGTCTTTTTAAGTAGTACTAAAATAAAAAAAATTTAGGATATGGTCCCTAAATGGTCCATATTTGTGTGTTTTGATACATTTGTGTGTTTTGATGATGAATGCCTTTTGAGTAACGGTCTTTGACAAGAAGTGTTTTTTGCAGCTAAGTTGGGTTACAGCGATCAAAAGGACAGGCTGAAGGACTTATCCAGAGAGTGTGCTCAGAAAGCTGCTGACATGAAAAACTTCCCATCCTTACGAAAAGATGTGGACAGAGGACCAAAGAAAGAGTCTGGGAGACAAAGAGGTACGTTTTAAAAACGTGACCAGAGAATCCATGGGTTAAATAGCTTTCTCCCTTTTAAGAGAAAGTCAGTATTCTGAAATATGTACTGGATTTGGAGAGAAACATTAGTAGTGTAACAATATCATTTACAACCCAAACCATTCTATGAAACGTGGATAAGAGCTGTAATGGAGCTTTTTTCCTTTTGTTCTTACAAGATGTGATTGGGGAAGACCGTTGCAGTGTGAAGTCAGGATCTCCTCCCATCGGGAACGGCCTCAGGCACTGCGTGGATCAGCGGATATACAGCAGCCAGGGAAGAGGCCCCTACAAACACGACAACGCCCCGCACCCAGCAAAGCTTTCTGCACACGTGCTCGGATCAAATAAAACTGACCCTTTCGCTGCTGGGGAGAAACCAGCCACGAGGACACGGCCTGATGGTGTCACTGGTTATGACACGGACACCAGTCAGGACTCCAGGGACAAAGGAAGCAGCAGGAGCAGGAGTAAAGGTTGGAAACCGATGCGGGAGACGCTGAACGTAGACAGCATTTTCAGCGAGAGTGAGAAAAAACAGCACAGCCCAAAGCACAAGGCAAACCTGAGCAGTAAATCTAAGCACGAAAAGGAGAGGAGCTTTAACCAGTGGCCAAAGGAGAACCAGGTGCAGAAGGCTTTAATGACTATATACGAGGACGAAACGAAACAGGATACAGGAAGCCGAAGTTCACTGGATTCGGAGGGAAAAGGGAACGCTGAAAAAAGCAAAGGGTTTACGGAGAGAAAAGTCCACGGTGATAACTGGCAAATTCAGAGGACAGAATCTGGATACGAAAGCAGCGATCATATCAGCAACGGATCTGCAAATCCGGACTCACCTGTTATTGAAGGAATCAGCCCGGCAGATGTCAAGAATGTGAAAGACAGTGCTTCCTGCAGGTAATGCTCATGCTCTTAGTGCTTGCATAGATGGTATTCATAGAAAAACAAGCTCTTCTAATATTTATGTAGTGTTTAGAAAACAAAATAAAAAAAAACACCAAGAAAACATCCCTTGAAACTTGCTTGGGGTCATGCGTGTGGAAGGCTGGAGTGTTTCTAGAAGTAAGGGTGTGGGCAATTAAGTGTTCCAGTTGCCTTCACGCTGAGGCTGCAGCACTGGTTCTCTGCGGAAGGCACTGAGCCAGACACTGCTGAGCCTTGCTGAGGGACAGGGCGTGTTCATTCGTAGTAATTGCTACACTGCTGTACTCAGGAGATTTTTGGACTGTGGGTGACTTTCCATCTGTAGTGGAACACAGTGTCCATGTAAATCATACTTGTAACATTTGTACAGACAGGCCCTGACGAGGAGATGGGACTGGCAGGAGGTGAAATCTTGTGTGCTGCTACTGCTCACTGTGCTGAAATTCACCTCAGATATATATATTGATCACCTGGTAATTGATTGACCTGTTTGAAATAATCTTTGCTGAATACTATAATATTACTAAAACTGGCCAAAAAAATGTGGTTAGTAGCCATATATCATTAAACTTACCTAGAACTGATGTATGTTAGTCATTAAGTATCCTGTTCAGGGATGTTGTGTAATTTCTGTCTGTGAAGATGCTCCTAACCCAGCAGGATGTGATCCTGGGCATGGAGTTGACCCTGCTTGAGCAAGGGGAGGGGGTTGCACTAGATGATCTTATTTCATAAAGAATTGTGACAAGTTTATCAAAACAAACTTTTTAGTTAAAACATACAAAATGCACCTTCCATAGTGAAATGTCCTTTGATTATTTTGAAACCACGAGGAAGCAAAATCAGTCATTTTCCTCTGTCCGTATTCAAAGATTCAGGTCATCCTAAATTTTTTGTGGATCAGCACAGCCTGTCACGTGTGGGAGCAGTGCTAAATGCAGTGTTCAAATCACATATCTGCTTCTTTTACAGCGAACAGAACTTGTCAACCAAAAAAGCTGAGCATGTGTTACATTCGGTGCCCCAGCAGAACAGAAACTTCCACGGTAAGAGCTCCTAGAAAGGTTAAGCTTTGAAGAAGTGTTTGAGATGGACCAGAATTTGAAAATACATTAATATCACCCAAGAGATAGACAGATTTCTGAATAGCCTTTTGTATTTTATCACTTTGCTGCATAAAGTAATGTCTTCATATGTCACAGAATCAGAAGATGTACATAGCATGCATCATTGCTTTTTTTTTTTTTTTTTTTAACAAGCCATAAGCAAATATTTCAGAGTTAGGCAATTTGTTTATCAGATTGGCTGTATTTTAGTATATTAGAAGAAAATTGGCATGGAATCTGTGGCTGCTTTGACCACGATGGAAGAGGTTTTCTTATACACTTATTTTCAGCAGAGATCTCTCTTACTGACTCATCCATAGCCTGTGTACTCTGTCTTCTTGAAAATGGCAGAGGAAATCTGTTTTGTGGGTGTTTTTCCTGCACAGTGAATTAGAAATTTTGTTAAAACTTTTCAGTGAGTTATACTGATGGATGAAGATGAAAGGTGTTCATATCCTTTCTTCATTGTTGTTGGTTTTCTTTTGTTTTGGCAAGTGTGCATGTTTCTCCTCCCCCCTATCCCCCCCCAAAAAAAACCCAAACACAAAAAACATTGTAATTTTGTTCACTCCCTGTGTTTTCCCCAAAAGCATATCTTGGTGGATACTAAGGAAGATTTTTTTTTTTTTTTTTTTAAAGGCCTGGGTGGACTGTGGTACCATTTGTTTTCCTTCAAGATATGAAGCAATATCAGGAAGAAACACTTGTAATAAGGAAGTCTACTTCCTTTTACATACTAATATGTCTGCTGGGGTTTTATAAAGTTGATAAATGCCTTGGCATATAAATATTATAGGTCAGCATGAGGCCAGCCAAAATCATTATCTGCTGTTGCTGAAACAATGGAAGGGTGCTTGTACAAAGAGGGGCAATAAATATTAGGCCACTTCCTCAGGAAACATTTGATTTTTATAGATATCATACTTCTTCCCAAATAATGTATAGTATAGTATAGTTTCTCCTAAGACTTAAAGTGGGAACCACTTCTACCTTTTCTGTCTTTATTCTAATCTATTTTTTGGTTGTAGAAAGAGAACTAATTTGGTGTTTTATTTTGACAAGCAAAAAAAGCCCCAAACCCCAAACTGGGTTGCAAAGATCTGGTTTTGCAGGACATTCACTCTGCTTTAGTTCTGTACCACACCATTCCTATCAAACACACTTGGATAGGAAAGAAAGAAAAAAACACCAGTGAAAAATACATAAAGGACTTTGTTGGCATGAAAAATAGGTGGGTTAAAACAATGGTTGAGCTTGTAATGAGTGTTCTCTGGAGAGAACTTAAATATACTTAAAGGTTTCAACATGCATTGTACATTTTCTTTAAGTGTAGTGACTTCAGGTGATCCTTGGAGTTATCATAAAAAAATTGACGATAGGATCCCATCTAATCAGTTATTTCAATTCAGTAACTAACTTTTGAATAGCTTTATAATAAAAATGTATGTATTTAACTCAGTTGTGAAGATCTCATGCGTGCAAGTTTTGGAAAATAATACTTTCAGTGGAACTGATTACCAGACAGAAAAGATAATCTGAGGAATTTGATAATTTCACATGTATAGTGGGTAAAGACTTATTTAGTCTCAGTTTTAAAAGTGTGTCAGGATACCTTTAGCAAGGACAATAGTAGTTACTTTCATGTCTCAGTTGTATTACCTATGTTTTACCTCTGGGTGTTATGAACAAAACATGGACTGGTAGGTAAGAACCAAAGAGGCTCCCAGAAAATAGGACTTTTAAAAAAAAAAAAAAGTCCTTTCTGAGAGAGGAATGGAATGTAAGAAATCTTTGTCAGGCTCTCATGGCAACTCCAACAAATATGTCTGCGTGGGTTTTCTGTGTGGAAAACTTCTTATGGAAATAATGTTGGACTTGTAATTCTGCCCACCGTTGGTGTAACTGTGCTTTTCCAGCTCCTTGTTTTTAACTGGAGCTGAATAAGGAAGGCTACTGTTCAGCAGTTGAGGAATTCTGCCCCTGACTTACAAAAATAAACTTATTGTTAGAGCATCATAAAGATAGAAACACTGCATCACACAGTGGTGGGGAGATCAAATGGCTGCTGCTTACACTGGCAGTGAGCAGTTGATACCTAGTGCTGAAGCAAAGGTCCCCCAAGGCCAATCCCTAATTTGTGTGGTCAGATTTTGGCAGGAAAAGACAAATATTGAGTAAGCAGATGTAGCATCCATCATTCATATTAATGACTCGGTGTTTATGCAGTTTGAACTCGATGAACTGAGGAGGCAAGGGGGTTTTTTTTTGGTTATAAGGAACATGTGACGTGAGCAGTGTGAGGGCAAAATTTCCAACCTCACATTCTTCCAATTGAAGAATGATGACACTAATTTTAATAGTTTTCCTGTTAAGAATTAAGATCAGTAACGTGAGACAACTCCAGCTGAAATCTAGAATCATCCTGGAGCTCTGGTGAGTGTGCAAAGAAGAATCCAAATTGCCTTTGTTTCCAAAAGTACAGTTCCTTGAATATAAGGATTTTTTTTCCAGAAATTTGTCACCATTTCTTAAAAATAATATTCTATTTTGGACAAGTTATAACTTCTTGACTTAGATTATGTTCTTGTTCCACATTTCCAAAGCTTCCAGTAAGTTTACCTGTAATTTCAATTTAATTAAGAAAATGTCTGAGTTAAGAGAGGTGAATTATGTGTTATGAAAAGTAGTACAATTTGGTTTTTTATTGATAAAATTATTTTTTAAAAAGGTAGAGTTTTTTGGTTTAAAAAATGTCTAGGAAATGTGCAGCTAAAACCCATTAGAAGGAAACTGAATTTAATGTGTAGTTGAGTTTTTGTTGGAGATTTCTGTATTTCTGTTTATTTGGGGATTTTTTCCCCACAGAAATGGGAGTTAGCAGGTTTTTGCACCTGTTCTGTATTTGTAAACGGAGATTCCAGAGCAGAAGTTCTGTCCTAACAGCGGGCTATAGAACGGATATTAATATTTTGGAAATCTCGATGGACTACTCAGATGTGAAAATAGGCGTTTATAAATCTTAAAAGCAGGCAGTTTGTACCTCCTAGAACAGTTTCCTCTGCTTTATTGCCCAGCTCCTCGGGCCCCATGGATAAGGATGGCTGGCTCCGGCCGAGCGCCGTGCTTGCGCGTCCCACATTTTTTAGGTTCGCCAAGCACGCGGGGCCGAAATTCCCAACGGAGCCGGCGTCCGGTTTTACCCGTGCATGGCTGTCCTGTCAGCAGAAGGGGTGGGGGGGAAATAACAGGTCTATTTTTAAGCCGGCTGGAATTCCGCGGGCACCGAGCGAGGAGAGGCGGTGGGAGGTGGCGGGGCAGGCGCCGGGCTGTGCCGGTGCCGCTGCCGCTGCTGCCGCCGCCGGGCCCGCCGCGGGAACTGCCGCGCCCCGAGCCACAGAGACAAACCCATCGCCACCGTGGCGGCGGGGCGAGGAGAAGCGTTCCCTCTTGGAAACGCTGCTCGGTGTAACCGAGCTCGCTGCTAGGGAACTCCGCGGAGCAGTTTTTAGGCTTTCCGTCCGATTAATTTAGCTGTCCCTTGCCACCGTCACGCGGGATCGCTCGGTGATGGTGTTTTCCCATGAGTATTGTTTCTAAGGCTGGGGTATTGTTTGTCGTGCAGGATTTTTAATTAATTTCTTTTTTTCAGTGTCAAGACTTGAAGGAAAGCCGTAGGGAGGCTTTGTCTCTTGTGCTTTATGCTGGTTTAGCCTCTGCTACCTGTGCTCTTGCTCAAAGACGGGGGTGTCTTTAGTCTTTCATCACTTAAAGACAGGGCAGATACTGACCATCAAAACGAGCATCACCCAAAGATTTTAGTTTAACTCTGTTCTGTTGTTGGGCTTTTGACTTGTGTGTTCATGAATCAAAAGTTACAAGACCTATAGGACTTAAACTTGGGGAAATGAAACAGGTGTGTAGTTATGAGTCTAGTCTATACATAGACAAAGGAAGCCATTCTAGTAATAATGATAATAATAATAATCCATTCCTTTGAATGGCTTCAGAGCAGGTGACTGATTATAATGGGCATTAGGAAGACTTACAGTATCTATCTCTAAACAAATAGACTGTTGCTTGTCACTTGCCAAGAGAGTGTTTTATTCTATGTGGAGTTGACACAAATACTTCAATACTTCCTTTATTTACTGTTCACTGCGAGCTGCCTTGTTCAGAAATTGTGTATTTTCAGGGAATGTTTTTTTTTGCCTGTGAGTAAAAAGAGCTGCTGGAGTGGGAGAGCAGCAGTGCTGGCCCAGGCAGGTGTGTGTTTGGGGCATATGAGTGACATGCTCTCGGTCTGCTCAGCATCTCTGTGAGCTGTACAGTCCTGCTCTAACCTTTTAAATGTTTCAAAGAATGTATTTCTTTAAACCTACATACCAGAAAATTTCCTACAGATTATTTAGCATTAAGGTAAGATCTGGCCACCTGTCACAGATTGTCTTCAAAATGGCTATATTGATTAATCTCAAATCTTGAAAGGCATTATTTGCCCTGTTTTGTTATGTGTTGTTTTTGTAACCTCTGAGCAATTACAAGGAAGGGATTGGACTGTATATATGCTTATTTTGAAATACTTCTTTTTTCTACCCCCAGATTTGAGGAAAGACCAGTTGAATTCTGAAGTGAACTACAGACCTCATGTTGGTTTCCCAACAGATTTACATTTGCAGGTGCCCAGTCCTCCAGTAAAGAGGTAATTAATACTGACATTGATTTACTCTATAATAGTTGTAGAAATACTGAATTCTGTTGTGTTACAATAATCAATATTAAGCATTGAAAAGTTAAGGTATTGAAAGCTTCTGACAATCAATCTAAACACAAGTTTAGCAGGCAAAAGTAACATTCAATATTTGAAAAGCGGATGTATCAGAGTCACAAAGATGCATAGAAGAGAGCAGAGGTTGTGTTTAACATAGTCCTGAATGTTAAAGGAATTTATCTTACCTTGCATCTCTTGCATTTTACATTTCAAATGAAAGAAACCTTGGAGTAATTAAATGCAACTGTTAATCAATGGCTGTAAGTTAAACAGATTCCAGTTCTCTCATCGGTTTGAACATTTAGGCAGTTTTATCAAGACTGTCTTAAAAGATCCTTGGGTTATTTGAACCTCTTCACATGTTTTTACGGATACTTATATCTTGTGTGTTTTTTGTATTTTAGAGCTGAAATGCCTGAGACCACCAGGAAATTCTTCCCCTCCTCAGCTCTCCAGCCAGTTGTCAAAGACATCGTGAAGTCAGAAAGCAGGAACAAGGCAGGCGAACAGAAACCTTCCGAGTGGCTTCAACCAGACAGGTTTGAGAAGGTGAACGTGGCAGTGTTCTGTCCTGATGGCCTGTCCCACCCCTACCCCGAGAACACCTGTGGCAGGAAGCTGCTCCCCAGTGACTTTGCCCCCTCTGCCCAGCCGCAGTCTCATCACACAAGAACGCTCGGTCCCAAGGTGGGCTTGGGGCCCTGCGTGCCACAGTCCCTGCCGGAGAGGCCCGTGGTGCTTCCCGCCCCTCCCGCTGAGCACCCGCTGCGGAGGGGGGATGCCCTCTGGGTGCCTGAAGCAGTGTATCAGAACGTCCCTCCCCCTCTGCCACCCAAGAAATACGCTCTGAATACTTTGCCGGGATCGGAGGGTAACTCTGCAGCAGAGGTAAAACCCGCAGAAGCGTTGCAAAGTAATCCGCTGAGGCAAACGGGTGCTCCTCCAAAACCTGCACCAGAACCAAGTGTACTCCCACCAGAACAAAGGCTGAAAGAGCCCTTTCCAGGGAACGAACTGTTTGTCCACAAACCGGATTCTCCACCTCGCTTGTCAGTCAATGACTTCTGGACCGTGTCGGAGAACTTGTTAAAGAAAGGATCCCGCCACACGGGGCCGAGTCCCGGCTACGTGGAGGGGAATGACAGCGTGTCCCTAACGACCTACTTCTCAGTCGACAGCTGCATGACTGACACCTACAGGATGAAGTACCACCAGAGGCCCAAGCTGTATTTCACGGAGAGCGGGAGCTTTCCCAAGGAGAAGCATCCTCCAACAGCTGGGGTAGACCTGAACGCTACATACCACGCCCCCCTGGAGCCCAGGCACCCCCCGCCCGAGCCGAGGTACAAGGCCAGCGCAGAAGGCATCCACTGCAGCCGATAGATCCATAAAAAAACCCACCCCCGGATCTGACATTTGCATTTCACATGGTCTGTGAACGGGCACAACCCTTGAATGTGTGTGTGTGTGTGTGTGTGTGTGTGTGTGTGTGTGTGTGTGATAACCAGGTACCCAGCTGACCGTACTTTGCGTGGGAGTTCTGACTGTTCAAATGAATATGCAAATTGGAGGCGCACGGAGGAGAAGAGGTGCTAAACTTGTGGTTCTTTGATTTGTTACTCTAGTTGCCTTAATGCTTACCTCTGTTACTCAGCTTGTCTTCTACAGTTTGTACTACACATGGTCCCTTGGGGTGTGCACATCTTACAGCAGTGGGATCGACTGGATGTTACTAAATCTGTAAGAAGATTTAATTAGTTGCAGTTTAAGAAGTGCTCCTTCAGACTGCGGTCACTACCTACTTAGACTAACAAAAGGGATAAATGTATTACCACATCAAATGCAGTAAATGTAGTAATAATAGAGTATTATTTGTCCTGAGAAGTAGCAGGAGATAACGTGGTTTTTTTCAGCTGACTTCTCTGAAAGTCTGTGCTTTCACAAACCTTCAAGTGTCTTTAATACAAGTTTACCCAGAGGATTTATTTTTTATTTGAAAAGCCTTAATAATAATAATAATAATAATAATAATAATCCTTTAAAAACCGTCCTGGTTTGCAAATGTTAAATGAGACTTTCAAAGGGAATTGAAGTAAACCGCAGTAATACTGTCCTATTAATACAGCTGCTCTATGTTAGTGTACATTTTTAAACACATTTATCAGATTTTGTTCACCCTATAAGCTATATACTTCAACTTATTAAATTTAACCACATCTCTTACAAACTGATATAAGAGAATAGGATGCTAATTTTAAATGCAGAGTTATCATGCAACTATGAAAGATTAGTTTTGTAAGGTTTTAGATAGAGTTACTGCTTATGTTCAATTCTGATTTATCCTCCAAGTGCATACAAAGTAATTGCTGCTATTTATTAAGCTTCCCTTTTCTTCCATGGGGATCACACATTTGATTCTTTTTTTTTTTTTTAATTAATTTTTTTTTTACTGATGTGTTTCCCCCCTTTGGAACAGCCCTACACATGGGTATGGTCTGCACTGGCAGATCAGAGTGAATGTGTAGCCATTCAGCCTGTAGTGGCTAAGGGGCAGGGAAAGAAGAGGTTCCTCTTTCTCTGCTCTGTCACTGCCTACAGTTTTGGCAGCTCTGGCATTTACCTTGTCTTTTGTTAACCTGACTTAGTAACAAAGAGGAGGATTCATTTGGCTTTTATTTGGTTAGTTAAATCAGTGCACAGAACTTTGTAGCGTGTGCTGAGGCAGTGGCAGCAAAGCCTGACACAATCCAAAAAGGCTACATTTTCCCATTATTCACAGTGGAGTGTTAACGTGGGGTGCTGCTGATTATACCTAAATCATCAATGCCTTTTAGTTATGAAAATAATGCCACAAGGTTAAATATGCATATATAAACACTCTGGCTTGCACTGGTAGTCAGAAAGGCTTTTTTTTTTTTTTTTTTTTTTATGTTTATAACCTTATGTGCATGAGTTTTAGTGCTCCAACCAAATGTTGGCAATTGTCTAAGCACAATTATCCAAGCTAAACACTTAAAAATTAATTTTGATTATTCTGTGGCAAGGTCAGTTTTTTTTTTTTTCTTTTAAATTACATGCAACTTGCAGTAGAACTGGAACATTATATATATGCAACAAACCAGGTATCTCAGATTAACCTTATTTCTACCTTCTTGATCGAAGTTAGTTGTAGCACTTGGAAAAAAAAATGAATTCAAGGATTTATAGTGAAAATACTATGCATGTTTAGGTATGGCTGCTGGTAAACAGCAACTTAAAAACTGATCCTTTTGTAAGAAAATCAGTTGAATACAGAAGAACACTAAAAATGTTAGGACTGGGGTGATTCCTATTGTAATATTTTTGAGAGAGATTTCAGAACGTGTAAATTAAACTTTTCTAGTTCATCTAGCCATGTTACATAATATACATAGCCAGTTCTATACAGCTGTCTTCTAATACTTGTGTAAAAATAAAACCCCCAAGATTATTGAAATTTGTAAATAATGTATAATTTGTAAAATGTTTTGCAAAAAAAAAAAAGAAAAAAAGAAAAAAAATCTTGTATTTGAAATGACAGTATTTTTATGTCTGAATAGCACAGCAACAACTGTGAATGATGTTAGAACACTTCTTTTTAAAAACATGCATAGCAACGTTGCTACTGCTGTCCCAGGAGCAATAGGAATGCCTGTCCCTGATACCAATGAACTCGGCTCCCAGGAAGCACAACTGGTAAACTCCTCGCTGGCGTAGCTGCAGTGATTTAGATGTTCTTCAGTCTCCTTGCTTGGCTTGAAACAATCTTACCAGACGACTCTCTCTGTGCCCCATGTTTACCAGCTATTTAATTACCCTCCATAGACAGCTAATCGAGGCACCTTTGTTTTTATATTTGACTCTGCACTCCATGTATGTATGTATGTAATATTTGCTAACTAATATGTGATAACTCGTTTTAACTTACCTAGGGTGCCTATTTATTTTTTTATAAATGTCCCCTCCCGGCTATAGATTTGTATAAGAGCCTAGACCATTTTTTGTAACAGTAAAGATATTAACAAGTCTTGTAATTAATATATATTTTTCAGTCTTTAGAATTATTTTCTTGCGAAGTTCTGCTTGTTCAAAATATCAAGATAAAAATTTAAAATCTTTGGTGTCTGTCCTTTTTTCTTTACACTACATTAAAAAAAAAAAAAAAGTTAGCTTTCCAGAACTACATTTTTAAGTGACAGATAACACTGCTACAGTTTCAACTTGATGGCTGAAATTTTTGCAGAGATGGTGGTTCAGTTACCTTTTCTGAAGGGTTAAATTTGAAGTATTTGTTTATAAAGCTGTTAAAACAGATTAAACTTTTTTATACTCGTGAAATGCATAAAGCAGTTTTAGTACCATGATCCCTCATATCTGGTGACAGATGACTGATTTAGTTACACAAGGTCTCTTTCCACATTTATTAGGGATAAGCAGGATTTTCCTGGATATATGTATTCCTGAACTCCAGGTGCTGGGAAACTCTAAAGTTTTCTGAGATAAGTAAAACCTTTGATGCCAGATCTGCCCAAAGGAGAAAACGAAATCACCAGAAGATACCTTGAACTTTCCCTTTCTAAAGGCTATAAAGCTGAATATCACCTGTCTTCCTTAACAAAAGAGAAATGGAGCAACACTCCAGTGCTTAAGAGGTTGTTCCCTTGAGAGTTCCCTGGTGAAATCATGCCAGAGGGGGGAAAAAAAATAAATATAATACTAATGAAAAAAGAGTAGTGAAATTCTCTAAAAACCAGAAGCCTAATTTTTTCATTAGTGAGAATGAAATCACTGTTCAGTGCTCTTCTGCACCCCGAGTCAAGATCTCTGAAACCACTGACTGATTTCAGAGGGCATCCCATTCTTACAGCATAGGTCTGACACATAAAACAAGCCCCTGTCACTGGCAGATTTGTCTTTAACAATGAAAAAAATAATGGGAAAAAGCATGTGCCCACTTTTGCATCCCAGATCCCAGTATTCATGCCCATTTTCATTTAATGTGTTAGGAAACACCAAAACACTTTACACTTCAGAGTCTCTGCAGTCTAGTTATTATATTTATTCCTGAAAAAAACCCAAACCAACTATGGACTGTGATGCTCAGAATTAGAAACTAGTATTCCCAAGGGAAAAACACTACAGAAAACTGAACCCCCCTCATCTCTAGTTGGAAGACTGTCTTCTCCAAAACCTGACCGGATACAAAGTTTACTCTAAATGTACATATACATAAATACTGACCCTGAGGAGGCTCAGAAACTGATGAAGGTAGAGAAGAAATTAGAGAGAAAGCTGTAATAGAAACCCAAACAGCATCAAACTCTCACAATTAACTTTTTGGAAGTAAAACAGCTGGTTAAGCTTCACCTGTTGTGGGAACAGGTCTGAGTTACAACTTGGGTCTAGGCAAGAGCTGGGTTTTATTCTCAGCCACGCTGAAGAGTGTCCTTTCAGTGGGTTTTATTCAAGCAGTGCTTTCTTCCCTTTCTGCTGCACAAACCTTCGGGCACTGATTACACAAGCACAGCCCATCCATCTTACACAACCTTTAAGGCACAATTTGGAGCACAGAAACAGGACGCAGGTAATATTGTGACACAGGCAGAGATACGTTATGGTATTACTATAAATATGAGCCTCTTGCATCCAGCTGCAAGTGGAGCCGTGTTCCCAGCTGCTTATCCCGCACGAATGGTCCTACTCCTCCTCCACTGTTCGTGTTCACGAGGTGCATCCCGTGCCGTTCCTCTGCGGGGAACAGAAAAGGCCTGGTTATTTCTGCGGTGCTTTTGCGCCTTTGTTTTGAATTCGTTTTCCACTTCCTGAGAAGCGTTTGTGCTTCCCAGGCCTTGTGTGGGACTCTCCGGGGCAGGAACGCCGGGGCTGCTCCCAGGGGCCTTCCCTCCGCGAGCACAGCCCCTCGGAGCTCTCTCCTCTCCCTCCCGATATCCCCCGGCCACTCCCGGGGGCCCTCCCTCACCTGGGCCCGGGCCCTCAGGGTAGCAAGTATATGACCACGAAGAGCGCCAGGTCGAAGAGGACGAAGAGCCACAGGTCCAGCCAGTAGGACTGTCCCGACAGTGAGAGCGATCGTGACAGCGGCTGGCCGCCATCCCCCTGCTCCTGCCCCCGATTCTGCTCCTGCCCCCGCTCCTGAGGCCGCCGCGCCACCGCCTCCATCTCCTCACGGCTCTCCCGGCGGCACCACCGCGCAGGCGCAACCGGCTCTTCCGGGTACGGGGCCAATGAGAGCGGAGCGCACGTACCGCGGCCCCGCCCCGCGGCCCCGGCCTCCCGGCGTCACGCGCCGGCCCCTCCCGCATCAGGGGCGGCACCGCCCGTCGCGCCTCACGTACCGCCCGCCCCGCCTCAGACACCGCCCGTCCCGCCTCAGACACCGCCCTCCACCTCAGGCACCGCCCTTCCCGCCTCACGTAATGCCCCTCCCGTCTCAGGTACTGCCTCAGGTACCGCCCCGCCCTTCGTCTGCTCAGGGTCCTCTCCGCCCCTCCCGCCTCAGGGACGGCTCTTCGCGCCTCACACACCATACCCGTCCTTATCTTCTCCGGTACTGGCCCGCCGCTCCCGCCTCAGGAACGGCCTCGCTCTTTCCGCCTCAGAGACCGCCCCGCCCCTCCCGCCTCAGGGACCGCCCCGCCCTTCCCGCCTCATTGGCTGCCCCGCCCTTCCCGCCTCATTGGCTGCCCCGCCCTTCCCGCCTCAGGGACTGCCCCGCCCCTCGCGCCTCAGGGACTGCCACGCCCTTCCCGCCTCAGAGATGGCCCCGCCCTTCCCGCCTCAGGGACTGCCCCGCCCTTCCCGCCTCAGGTGCCGCTCAAATCGTGTCGGTCTTGTCCTGTCAGCGGTACTCGGACTTGTGTGGGACTAAACACCCACAAGTTGACGCTGATACGGTTTATTGGTGAGCACATGGTGCCCTGAGAGAAACCAAGAGATCATTTGGGAAATCCCGTTGTGGAGAAGTCTGGGAAAACTGAAGTTGTTTTAAGATACACTCCTCTCCTTGAAGGTTAGTTGGTGTTTGTACACGAAACAAAAATGGAAAAGTTCATGTAGATAGTGTATTCTGTGTCCTTCATTTATGCAACACACAGCTGCAAAAGAAATTAAATGGAGCAGCACAACGTGATGCCGCACTCACAGTCAGGATGTGGCACCCTCAGTCCAGCCAGTTCACTCCATGTTGAAAGCAAGGCAATTATTTTCATCATGTCCAGAAGAGTGACCAGAAACCAAGAGGAATGTGCTAAACAAAAACTTCCTCTTTATAAGTATTAACCCCTTTTAGCTTCATGTTAAGAAACGAAGCAATGCTTGCTGCAGAATACAGAGCAGGTTTATCTGAACAGAGCTTGCTTCTAAAACATGAACTTTTCCTTAATAAGTTCTGTCAATAGAAATAAGGATTAATGCGTCTTTATTTAGCAAGTATTGGTTAAGTATATGTCTGTTAGGTGAAGTATATTAGAGATTTTGGGGTGAAGCACTGACAGTACTTCCCCTCTAAGCCTTGTACCCAACTGTGTTCCCTCGCTTGAGCAAAAGGAGCTGTGGTTTGTGGGTTCACTGCCTGTATCAGGAGAGCATTTTGGCAGAAGAGGGAGCTGTGAGACGCTGAAGACATCAGATTTTACTCCACATTTATACTTGCATAGAATAATCTTGGAGCCTTGGGTGTTGTCAGGTTTATTTTAGGTTTTGCCATCCTTGTTACACAATATGCAATACACAGAGAAACTGTTTCTCAATATAAATACTAAGGAAACTAAGTTGCCATTTGATAACCCTATGCAAAGATATTTGAGTGTTGCTTATGCAAAGTAGTTTCTGCAGGCCTTTATCTCATGACACTCAGGTACGACTTGCTAAAGACATTTTAGCATTTGGTAATCGTTTTGTTGTTTTGTGTTTTTTTGTTTTGTTTTGTTTTATTTAAGGCGAAACAGTAACATAAGGAACTAGCCTGGGTTTTCACCAGGGCTAGGTAATTGCAGCTTAGGAGGTGCTGTGAGGGGATAAAAGGGGAAAAAAAATACAGCAGAGGATGTGTAGAAAATGGTCTTTTTTCATTGCTTCTTCATTCTGGTGCTGTTCTGGGTGAAGTGCTCAGCCCCTTTTGAAGATTCTCTTGGATTCAACTCCTTCATAGATGTAGGTCTGTTAAGAAACGAAGAAGAAAAATCAGTGGCTGGTATTGCAAAGATGCTGCTGAGAAGGGGTCAGTAATGAAGGAATGAATTGCGTGGGGTGTCTGTGCGGGCTCTGGGGAGAGGAACATAAGGAAAGCAGCCTGTTGTCAACAGGCATAAACTCTCTGTGCAAATGTTTGAACCACCACAGGGCAGCTTTTGGGAGCTTTGGGAAAATCCCAGAGGACACTTTAGCCACAACACATCTATACAGTGTGTATTTATTGATCTGTCTCTGTCTCCTGCATAGAACTTGTATACAGGCTTCAGAATGCATGGATAAGATACAGTTCACATGTGGAGGAAAACATAAAAATCACGGGTTGTGAGTTTTATTCTAAAGTGTTAAATTTTGATAGATGACTGGAGAGTTTTAACTAAAGATAGATGAGGTTATTTGGCTTTGATGCTAGTTTCAGAACAGCTTTTAAATTCTTTTTCACTTCATTCTGTGGTAAAGTTGTGTGTAAGTGGCTGCTATAACTCACCTGAACAAGTTCATCACCTACAATTTCTCTGTATGCTTTGAGTACTTTTTGATTGTCTTTTCTGGTAAACGTGCCGACAAGTTTATTTCCTTCCATGTCCCATTTTCCCTATAATGGGAGAAAAAAAAATATATTTTGCAACAGTTCTGACATTGATTTGATTGAAAGGCTGCAAAATGTTCTAAATGAGAAAAGATTAAAACAGTGTAATAATGCTTTTTTTAGAAAGGCTGTAAAAATGAAATTTTAATAAAACCATTAGTTTATTTAATTGCATAATAGTCAAGCTAGATATTTTTTTTACTGGTCAGTACACCTTATTTTAATTCATTGAATCCACAGAGAAAAGGTAGTTTCCTATGAATACCTACTCTGTACTCTAGGTGGTGGACTTGAGTGTTAGAATACGTAAAATTACAATCACCTGGATTTCATCATATGAAAATTGCCACTTGCTCTGCTTTTTTGGGGCTCTCCCTGGAACCCAGAGCTCCACAGGTGAACCATTAACAGTAGTTGAGACTACCTTGTGCTTTTTTATATAAGCTGCAAGCATTCCTGAACAATCACTCTTCCAAAGTAAAATTTAAATTAAACACTAGGAAGACAGCTAATTTATCATGAAATTGTACCTCCTTTAGTTATTATCATAAATGTAAAGTTGTATAGGTAGACTCTTACATTCATTTCAGTCCCGTCAGCCAGGCTGTAGTCAAAGTTGACTCCCAGGGTGAATTCAATCTCTATGGTCCGGAAGTTACTGGCTTCTTTGACAGTAAATTTGATCCCATCTTGCTGGATGGTGATCTTCAGATTGTCGTGGGCACCCAGCTTTCTCTTCATCAGGTTAACACCTGGAAAAATCAGTTAACATCCATCAGGAAAAAACAAACAAACAAACAAACAAAAACAAACCCCTCAAGAATCATATTTGTCTCTTTTTAGTGACTTTCATGTGGTCCAAGTGCATTTATTCCAGCATTCTGAGTTAGATTTTTATTCTTCTTCACTTTTTACTGAGACCACATTCACCAGTACACATATAATACAAACCCCTAAGTGGGGTGGTTATATTTATATCCATATAATGCGTTGTCTGTGCAAACTTAAAGTATTAGGATGTTAGAATTACTTGAATTGTGTTTCTATAAAATTGAAGAATTATTATTTCCACCCTGGGTAATTTTTAGACTAGTTTAATGTTATCAAAATAATATTCCTGCTATAGAATTCTGCTTATGGTTTATAATTCAAATTCTCTGAGCATTTTTCCTCAAATGTAGACTTAGGGATTCCTTTTTTCTGCTGCAATAAAGCTGGAATTAGTTGAGGTGCTTAAGACTTTTATAATGCAGTCAGAACATTTCTCAGCATCTTTTATCCTCCCCCCTCCATGAAATATTTTGAAAGTCAGAGCAGTACACTGTGCAAGGACAGAGCAAAGAGTGAAAGGACGGGCTGTCCCAAAGGTAGTTCAGAGGCAGCTCGAGTTTGTGTTCAGCTGGAGTGGCGTTTTTCCTGCAGAAGGCATTGGAAAAGTGAGACTCACCCATCGCCTCCATGAACTTCTCGTAGTTCTCATTTCTGTCTATTTTCCAAGTGCCGTTGAAGGCCATGGCTGTGTCTGTGGCAGCTGCTCTGAAGTGATGTGGCTTTGCCGAGGGAATTTATGTGCCGGCTTATCTGGAGAGCAATTTACGGGATGATGTGGCCGACTAAAGCTCAACTGATGCACTGATCTTTGCAAGGAGAACTTTCTTGGAGTTTAATCAAATTTCCAGTCCCGACCACATTGCTTGCTGAATCTCTCTCTTACTGCCCCCAGATCATGAGAGTATCTTTATTGCTCATCTTCAGAAAGAATTGCTAATCCATTCGTTCTATTCACCATGCATAGGGAAAAATCAGATATCTAGTGAAAGCAGTGATTAAAATAAGAGCATTTCTTGAGATTTTATATCTCTGTTGTATCTTCATGCTTTTGCTAGAGTCTTTGTGCAACTGGAGAAAATATTATTTTCCCAACAAACCAAACACAAATGTCTACTTTGTCCATTATAATTTGGTAGAGGTCTGTTCTGCTCAACATAATAAGCAAACGGCAGATGTTTTGCTGGATGTCTGCAGTTGTTTCAGAAAACAATCCTCTTGTTTCCTGTCTAATGCTGAGCTATGAAAACTGGGATCATGTTCTGCATTCATGTGCTCACTCTTTAACGTACAGTTTAAATTCTGAGCAGCTTCTACAGATTTTCTTCATTATAACACATCAGTGAACACTAAGTGCATCTGACACATTCCTGTAACAGAAAAAGATGTGCAGCTAAGTGAATTTACCTGATGTGGTTGGTTTCTATAATGCCATAATTTTGCCTGCTCAAGGAGAATGCAGAACAGGAGTATTTCCTGACTTAGCTGCTTTTCCCCCCGCCCCTTCTCCTTCCCCTCTAATTGGTGCTACTCAAACCGAGCAAAACTATTGACCCAGCTTTTGCCTTTGCCAGGTTAAGGGTTATAGTTATTCTGTTCCCAGGGATGCCATCAGCTTTGTTATGTGTTGCCTTCAAAATGGAAGTTTAATAAATCCCAATTGGTCAATGTGCATTAACCAACAACAGTTAGGTCTGGGTGTTTGGTTTTTACACTGACTTTCTTTCCACGATTTCATGCATTTTTTTATCACCTGAATAACTCTGTGTCTCAAAAAGTGTCATAGCCCATACCTAGTGCAGAGCTAATCACAGATGTCCATCTTACCCTTCAGCCAGCTCAGGAAATGGGCAAACTGAGTTTCTACTAAGAGCTAAATTCTCTTTTTATTGAATTGGCTCGTATCTTGACCTTTGTACTTGTCACTCTCAGTCTCTGTTATCTATTGAGTATCTATACATAAACAAAAATACCTGGTGTCTAGTTAGAGTTCATCCAATGTATTGTTGCATAACAAAATCGGTAGCTCTCTTTAGTCTTTGCAGAGAGGTTCTTTCTGACGGTGATGTGGTGCAGCTTCTGCTGGAACCAGTGGAAAACTGAGGCCTGAAATAATGTGAAATGCTCACATTTTTTGAGGCATCCATATCTATAAAGCCTAATAGCTAGGAAATGACCTTTTATTTTGAGCACTTCAAGAAAGTTGTTTCTAGGTGTGTTCTGCACTCCCCCAAGAACCCGTTCTTTCATTTAATTTAAGAAATGTTAAGGTATCTCAAGTTAGTGTTTTTATATTTAAACAAAGTTAATGCTACCAATTAATTTCCACATTTGTCTGTCTGCTTAACCTCTGAAAAAGCAACTCAGAGTAGTGACATTCTGCAGGTTAGGTATAGTTTCTACACCAAACTTACTTCAGCAGCTTTTCTGAACCTTAAAAAGGAGGGAGGTTGTTCTGGAGCAAGGCAGATTCTCAGGTGTGCTTTTCCAGTCAGTTATCTGACAATTTGCTGTGTCCCCCCTTGTGATTCTTTGGTGTGTCTCAGAAGTCAGGCCAGCTCCAAACCTTTTCACCGTGGGAGGAGTGAGTAGCTGGGTCCTGAATTTCGCATCAAAGCTCGTTGTTCCGTTCCTGTCCCAATTTCCCCTTCCTTGGCATTTTTTTCCCTGTGCATGAGTCCCAAGGGTCCTGTTCAGATCAGCCCCACAGATCTGTCAGTTAAGTAAGAACCACAGGTGGTCAATATTTATGAGTTTGATGGTTGGTGTAGTGCTGACAGCATAAAGAACTGTTTTTTCTCTGAGGTCTGATGGAATGTCACTGCATACAACAAGGGACTGTCTTTAATCTCTCACAATTTACATGAGTTACTTAGGACTGTTAATGCACTAAAATACGACAAAATCTGACTTCTTTTTTTTGCATGTACTGGAATCATATGATATATACTTCATTCAGAGTTCTTCTGTGTTCCTGTAATAGCTGGTTTTCCTTTAAAGTGTTTTTATAGATTTCTTTTTAGTCTGAATATTCCACAACCCTTTTCCTTCTTCTGTCTACCTCTCCCTTGTGTGGTTTTCAGAACTACAAGTTTTACTTAGGTGGTGTCTCAAAATCTTTTAGTGTTGCTGGGTCCATGAAAGTCTTGAAAGCTAAGGGTGTGTTCTTGGCTTTGTGGCTTTGTGCAACGTGCCAGCTTCAGAACACCGAAAATGGACAAACATTAACTTTGAAGTTTGATCTTCGAGTGATGTGGATGGGAATAAATTATTAACTTATATGGTGGTGCCAGTCTCATCATGCCAATCTCTGGTTATCACATCAAGCTGTATTGTGATGGCAATTGACAATGAGGTTCCAAAGATCAGGGTGACAAGAAGGCTCTTGCAGTGGGTTATGCTTATCTATCCTATTTATTGTTTTGTGGTTTGCACTCAAGCTGTTGCTGCCTAAAATTAGCTAGGACAATAGAACTCAGCTTTTCCATGGAGTGATTAAGGCTTAGTGCCAGCATAAACATAATATGCATATGAAAATATTAATGCATACAATGTTATGTAAGAAAAAAGAGATGAATCCCTGGTAAAACCATGCAGATTGATTTGGCAGTCCCTCTGTGTGTTTTCTACTGAATGATTCTTCAGTATGTCTTGGGATGGATTGCAAAGATGGCTGGGCCCTTAAAGCATTTGAGTGCCCCTGGCTCCCTTATTGTGAGGTTTTACCAAGTGTTTTTAAAACCACAATACTCCAATTTATATCAATATGGTAAACAGATAATTCCATGCTGGTAAAGGCAACTTCATAGCATAATGCTGGGTGGCCTGGCAACGAGGAGCTTGGTGGAGCCTAACTAATGCCATCTCTTGGATAAATCATTTCAAAGTGCATATAGCAGTTGGGTGTTGCATTGCAGCAGGATTAGATTGGTCTGGAGAGGTATTGTCCTGCTCCAGCTGCCTGTTTGCTAAATTTCTGGGTTTGTTTTGGCTCAAGGACATGGATGTGCTGCCATGCAAGCTGTTCAACACGAGGATTCAACATTGGGAGATTACTTAGAAATTTCCAGTGAGTATGAATCCATTTGTCTGATTAGTTAGTAGTGAGTCTTAAAACCTACTCTTAACTGACTGTAGGCACCCCTTTTTAAATTCTGTGTAATGGCTCTGATCCATAAAGTGCTGCATGGCTTGGAGAGTTGCTTATTGAAGTGCATGAGCTAAAAAGCTCCAGGTTAAAAAAAATCTAGAAGCAAAATTTAGGAGTTTCTTAAAGCAGCAAACAACGCTGGTTGTGACTTCATCCAATTACTGCATGGTAAAATGAATCCTAGGATTACCTAAAATAGTAGAATCTGGTCATGTTTCAATGCAAAGAGGGTGACAGTGAACAATTGCCATTAAAAATCAGTGTGCTTCTTCAGGAAAGGTTATATGAATCTCTGAGCATTAGTGCCATTTGTCACTTGCCATGTCGAGACTGATATACCAGTTGTCCCCCAGGGCTTTGTGTTGGGCTTATCTGAGGCATTTAATACCTGAATACTCTTTTCCTGTATTCTCCAGTTTCTTTTTGTTCAGAATGTGAAATGTGGTCAAAGGGTGAGGTTGACTTATAGTCCAATGCACTAACAACGTGTACAGTATTGGAAGTTTGCATCAGTGGTTTCAGTGTCTCCAAAATCTGAACTGCACTTTTAGCTCATTTCAACATAGCTTTTTGCTTATTGTACACTTTGGCTCCTGGTTACGATATAGCTCCAAACTCCACCAGAGATTATTGTGATTATCTGGATTAGTGACTTGAATCTGATCTTATCTGGAAAACAGTGAGTTTCAGAGTTCTTCTGAGCTCAGCATAATAGCAAGAGAGCACCCTACATGGCTCAGATATTTAAATATCTGATATATGCAAAAGGAAAAGATGGTTTCAGATCTTGGTTCTCTTTCCAGCACAGAAATGGATTTTCTATGTGACCTTGATCAAATTCCCCCCTCTACTTATCTGTAAAATGAACTTTCCTTCCATTAAGGAGCTATATATACCATAAAATAAATTGCCAGTGACTTGATTAACTACTACAGTGAAAGGATTCTGAATGCCTGCATGTAAACATATCATGCAAACTAGTGGTAGGATTTAACCATGGGCTTTACTCCTAGTTTTTGGTGCTGTTAAACAAGAGAAACCTGTGTATAGATTTTCAGCCATTTATGAGCCATTACAAAGCACTGGGTGGGCAGGAGCAGGCTATGGCCTAAAAATTATTTCCTAAAAATCTTAAAGGATGGGATTTCATGGGAATCCGAAATGCATGTCAGCAATAGCCTTCACCACTCTTACTAAAAATATGGCTGGAGGAAAGAACCATTGTCTTTCTTTCCATTTGTTAAAAAGGCGTCACTGTTGTGCAAGATGCTGAGTGTAAAATTCTTTCACATCTTCACTAAAAATGCCCTCGTTCAAGGTTATATTCTGGGTAACAAATGTATTCCAGTCCTCACTCCTGCTGACAACTGTGCCACTGCTCAGAGGTGAATTCAAACATTCAGCAGGCCAGAAGGACTGAGCAGGAGCATGACTGGGCTGGGAGGGGGCTGGAAAGACTGCAGTCCCAGCAGCAAACGGTTGCCTGATGTATGGAGATATACATGGGCAGTCGTGCAGTTGCACTCATAAATTGCAGTTGGTTGGAGCGAACAGCGCTTGTGTTTTGTGCTCAGCTAAATCTGGCCCTTCATAACTTTTTCAATGAGCCTGCTGTTTGTCAGGGATGGACATACTTCTTGGTTTTGCCTAGAGCTAAAAAAAGTTAAGCCAGAAGTGTTGCTGTGCGGGACCTAATAGGCAAAGAGCAGGAATTGCTAAGAAGCCCACTGGTCCACAATTACTCCTGGGATCAGCAGTTTGCACACCATGAGGCTTTTCGTGTCAAAAATAATTTTGTCACGGTTTTGTTTGAAGTCACTGGGTTGAGTATTTCCATGCTATCCCAGGAACTGATAGCTGGGGGGGGCGGGGCAGAGGATGAGGATACATCTGTGTAACTGTTGTATTTGCTGGTTCTGCTTATCTAATAGATAAAGAAACTGGTTTCTGACAGCTCCCAGTAAGTGCAGCTCCAGTGCTCTCTAGTGGTTAGTAGCAGTGAATTATCTTTTGCTGTTTCTAAACCAGAACAACTTTACCACAGGCTGATCTCGGTGCTACTTAAAAAGTATCTTGATATTCATAGTGATGTTCTTCTCTTCAGGATTTCTAGGACCTAGACAAGTTACTATAAAATATACATTTATATACATTTACAAGAAACAATCATTTGAATCTGGGAACAGTGAGATGTTGAAAATTCAACCTCAATAACATCAAGTAACGAACAGTAAAATTTGACATCATCCTTTTTATTTTAAAAAGCATGAAAACAGTACAAAGAGAAGAATGAGGAAATAAGTAATAAGCAGCAGTCTGACCATAGAAAATAACCTGACTCTGTATTCTCTGTCAGCTGTACAGTAAGTAGGGATAATGATTTTGTTAAGTAATGTAACCGGCTTTACTCTAAGAATTCATAGGACAGCAGCAAGAAAGAACACATAGCATTCAGAAGACTTTAATACTGCTTACAGGCAAAACATAATATACAGAGAAACCCCTCAACCTAGTACAAAAATACTGTGCCCAGAAACTATATATTTGTTCAAACTTTTTTCAAAGATAAAAGAATACAAGTGGACAAACTCAGTGACTGGTGACTGTGACTAGGATTTTTAATTAAACCATAATAGGAATGTCTATTAAAACTATTTACAGTGCATTTCACACTACATTCTTTAAGAGACACATGCAGGTGTCCCCCAGGTGAATACAGAGAGGGCTCAAATTCTAACTTCAGTTCCATCTGTAAGGTACCTCGGGCATCAGCAGGAAGAGCTGAACACAGCAAAGAGCAGGTGAGGCAGGTGTTACCAAGGGTAAGAGTTTGGTCCCTCCTTGTAGGTAAAAAAGGTGGATTTGACCCATTCTTTCACTTTCTATACAGCTCAATCCAGCTCCCACTGGGGTAAATGGGAATCTCTATGACTGACTTTAAATCAGAGCATGCTTTAGACCCTGGCATGACCAGCTCATGTTGTGAAAATTAAGTGAAAACTGGCTATTCTACAGCACTGTCACATAAATACACATTTACAAACAGTGGTACTTAGATATGAGTTTCTCTATGGAAACAAACGTCTTTATGTGGAAAATAAACTTTCCCATGCAACTTCCATTCATCTAGCAGTGCCAAAGACAAAATATCCTGCTGGCACTATTTGCTGTATTTAACAAGTGTCACTAATCACCAGGCCAGATTTTGTGACGTTTCTTCTTCCCGTCAAAGTCCAAACTAAAAAAATCCAGCTTTCGTTATTTACCCTACTCTGGCCAAACTCATTCTTTTATTCAAGATCCAATGTTCAAGTTTATCTTTCAAATTTATCTTTCAAATTAGTGCAAGTCTCTAAAGAAGTGCAGCAGGGAGCTGTGAAATAAAGCTGAAACCTTGTGGAATGTAAACTGCATGTGATTTGACACGAAGAGAAAAACCCACAGCATCACAGAGACAAGACTCCAAACTATAGCTAAGATATATATTTGCCTGAAATACCAGACCTTTATAAAACCTTTAAAAAAAATGTATGAATTTATTATCAGTGAGGCTTTGCTTTTTTTTTCCATAAGAACTTTCTGCTGTCTTCCTGTGGAAGAACTGCAAGGGACACCAACCAGATCGCTCAGGAAACATCCCCGAATTTTATGGGACTAGATCTGACTCTTCAGAGTTTTTCTGTATAATGTGTTGGAAAATTAGTTACCTGGGAATTTTGAAAAATCTTGTATATGAATTAGACAGTGATTTTTTCAGTTCATGCCACTGCCAGGTGAAATGCTTTGGATTAGAGGTGGAAAGTTTATCTTTACATGCATGGGGGTGATACATAAAATCAGGCTTCAGTCCTCTCTCTCTTCTAAGGAGAGATCAGCTGATCATCAGTGGAATAGGTTGTTTACTTTTCTCACTAGCTCACTTGAAGATAGGAGAGTAATCTGCTCTTAACTTTAAACTGCTAATTAACAATTCACACCATCTCCAAAATCGACATCACATTATTTTCCTCCTCTTTCTTTAATTGTGTGAGATAATAGAAAACCTAGATGTTCTGCAGCTAATATTGGATGTGGAGCTAACTTATTGGAAAAGAAGTATTACCTACATCTTAGGAGCCTCACTGTTATTTTTAATTAGAAGAGGTAGGGTTAATCAGTCATTTTGTGTATGTTAATACATATGACAAGTAATTTTTTTCAGAAGAGAACAAAAAACAGAAAGAAAAGTGTACTTTAAGCATTAAACTGTGCTGTGGAGTGAGCTTAAAAGAAAATATCTGAGATCAAGTAGGATACTTAGATGCCTTCACTGAGATATTGGTGGGACAAATTTGGTACTTGAAGATTGAAATATCGAATTTGACAATGGCTTTAATAAACTTCAGTCTGAACTGACCAAGGGCAAAACTCCACTTCAGCTGGTTTCTTTTGTAATCCCTCCTGATGGTTTTAGCTCGGCAGTATAAACTGGGGAGAAAACATTTGAGACATGACTGAAATAATCAGAAACACAACTCATGATGAAATGAAGGACAGCTTGTGGCTGTAATCCACCATCTGGGTTTGAAAATGTGGAATTCTAAAGGCAATGAACTCTAAGCGGGAAACAAGCTGGCATTTTTTTTCCCCCCATATTGTCCCATATCTCCATGATGAAAGGAATGAGCAGTTTCTGCAGATGGTTCACACAAAGCAGACACAGGACCAGCACACTCTGGCTTTGCCTTCAGGCAGAATTAAACACCATGTAAAAAAGTTGATCATGCTCTGAAATTTCAGGAACTACAGCAGCCTATGCTTTTAAGGTTCTTAAACTAGTAGTTTAAAGGCTTTGGTTTTGCAGAAATATATACAGATACAGGTGTATTATGATAAATAAATGGTTTATTTACTAGGAACTGTATTTATACCTGTGTTCCAATCTCTGTAGTGGAAGAGATTCCGTGGGATAAATGTGTACAGATATGTAATTAAATATATGCACGTACTCTAGAACTGTTCATTTCGAGTGAACCTTTAAAAAACCTAATGTCATGCCCTTTTTTTCAAGTCAAAGGTACGAATCCATCATTTATAAATTTAGTTAGAGTAAAGCTTTGCTGAACACACAATATAGCAAAGAAATACTGGGATATTAATATAAAGGATGCTCAGTCACTACACTGTAATATTATCATAGTTATCTGCTGTGTTGTCACCACGAATTACCAGTCTCAACCATAATAGCAAGAAGACACCTTTATATACATATAATTAATTCATATTTATATTAAATATGTATCTCATCAGTTAGTGTAATAATTATACTTCAGTATCTCAAGCACTCAAGGAAAACACTATACAAGGACTAAGCAAATCCTGAAGCAAAGTTTCCTTTTCATCAAAAAGTCCCTAAAAGGTTTTGTTGGAGGTGGCAGGCTGCTGTCATTTGCATATAAATACACATATGCAGCACTGCATAACAGTAGTCCTGGAATTCTGAATGATTATTGAAATCCATACTTTCTTTTTTTTTTTTTTTTTTTTAAATCTGTGCGCAGAAAATCAGGAGAAATACTTCTGTAGAAAAAGGTTTTCAAATTCAGCTGCAATAATACATTATTGGTGATCATCAGAGAAGTTTGAGATAGGATTTAATCAGTGACAAATAATTTAGGTTGGCAGAAATGCTGCTGACTGTCAGAGTACCTTATTCTACATTAAAAAAAAAAAATCAACCATGAAACTCAGTATCGTCAGACATTTTGAAACATTTGCTTTACATTTTCTTAGCTTCTGGTATAGTTTATCTAAATGAAGAAATTGATAAAAATAGGGAGTTTTCACTTCTTTCTCACCAGCTCTTACATTTGCCTTAATTGGTTCCCAATTCAAAACCATTTTTATTGATCACCTTCTTTTAAATAAAATACCAATGCTGGGTTTTTTTCCTAGTGCAAGTTCATTGATTTCCTACTTTTCAGAACATTAATGCCTCATATACAAATGGCAAATCCCTGTAGCATTCCTGGCTAGTTTTGCTTTTGGTACTCTTTTTTTCCCCTGGTTTTTTTTTAAGACACTGTGTTGAATCATTGTTAACTAACGCTAAAAATGCTTTTTAAAAGATGTTAACATAAAACTTCCTTCCAAGTGGTCATAGCCATTTCCTAGCAACACTGGCCTAAAGAATCAGTCACGGATAGTCACCAGGATTGTGCCATTCCTGCATCTTTCTGATTCCGATTGTCACCTCTTGCTCTTGCAGTCACGTTCTCTTCCGCCCGTGATCCCGTCTGTCGGTTGGATGATGTTAAAATCAACTTCCAGATGAAGTTAAAACCAGCAGATAAAAATGATCCTGTTCAGATTCCGTTTCTCTCTGTGCTCCTTGCAGCTTCCTGTGGGAGCCATCCTTCCATGGCAGCCTGGCAGTTATGCTGCGACATTTCAGCAGTCTTCAAAGCAGTTTCCATTACTCACGGATAATTGTGACACTTCCACCACGAAACTCCTAAGACCCTCATTGCCTAGCGTTTCACAGGGGTCTTAAAAATGTCTTCAGATGTAATAAGACATTTGCTGAGACATCCATTGGATAGGGAAAAAAAAAAAAAAAAGCCCCAAAATTGAACTACTGGGTGCATAAATTCTGGGGCTTTTTCACCTCAGAGCCCAGTTCTGTCTTCTGAAGGAGGTCAGCATGGTATGCGCTGGATTAGGCTCCCCAGAGCGAGTCCCAGTCTCCCCTCTGAGCCTCTGGGAAGAGAACTGGCGAGACTGCTCATGACTTTTATAACATAACACAGCAAGACTGGCAGAGGGAAAAGAAAAAGGGTGCGAAACGCAGTAGTCTTTAAGATACTGGCCACAACATGATCACCAAACAACTATGTACATCTGGAAAGTCAGAGGCTCTCGGGCACAGTCGAGTCACTGCACTAGTACCTTCTGCTGGAGCCGGGGAGGGGGGGGCAAAAACTACCCTTGCAGGTCTCTTTTTCCATCTCAGTCAGATGTAACAAAAGAAACGTCCTATCTCTTGGCATACACGTGGTCATGCTATATCTTGGAACGTGGAAAAATAATACAGCAGTGGCAAAACACAAGCCAGATTCATACAGTGTTCAGCAAAATGCAGTACTCCCCTATTACT